ACTTTAGCTGATTAATTATTTTTTAAGTTTATTTATTGAGAAAAATTCTTAAAGAAGCCCTTTCTATTTCTATTACATATAAACCAAATTTCGACATATCAAAAATCATCACAAGTAGGAGAGAGTATGGTTGAGGAAAACCCTTTCCACCAGGGGCATATCAGATATTAATTAACAACACTTGATGTCCCTGTTGCTCCCTGAAATATAAAAACACACAGGTTATCGATCTGTGAGGCCTCTCTGTGAGCGATTCTTTATGATGTTTTTGATTTCAGAGCAGGGAGTATTGATCCCGACTGACCCTCTCAGCTGTGAACATGAAATATACTTTTCACCTGAATGACTTAAAGGGCCATTGGAGGGAAGTTATATCGACTCCATGAACTGAAAAAAAAGATTTGCTCTGTCATGTTAGAAAATAAAGTTGGAGTATTTAAATGTTTCACCTGAATGACAGGGATTTATCATCAACCCGTTTAATACTCAGAACACAGAATCCAAAAGAATGATTTAAAGGTTAATTTCACTATAAGATACATCGAAATGCCTACACCGTCAGTCACTTGTGGCTGCAGCTTCCAACCAGGAGAAGATGTCATCGGATGGTCATCAACTTTCATCGGACGTTTGGACCCTGAACCACAACATCCTCCGCTTGGCGGGTCTGCAGTGATGGACATCACGGCCCATCTTCCCCTGGTTTCCAGCTCGTCTCCTCCCGCCTGAACCAAAGCCAGCGAGAGGCTCTGACATTTAATATCACACTTGAGAGCCAATAGACACACAATAAAATACATATGTTATCACCATGGTGACACATTGGACTGTCTATGAGTGAGAGATATTGATGCCCAGGCGTCTATTTAACATAGGAAGTATGCGTGATCACACTGGTACAAGATTATCAATCCCTGAAATGATTATTCCAGGAACGCTGTCATGTTCCTCAGCTTCACATTAGTGAGTGTGACATGATTGTCATACATACTGACACGCTATTACACAGAATAGCAGTGCTTCAGAGGTCACTTTCCTGACCACTGAAGCACTTTTACACAAAAAGTTTATTCAATAGTTCATTACTCACCGTTTGTTCTCCACACTTGTTCGTTTTAGTCACTGTTGATGCTACATCTTAAACAGTGATGTGGACTGAACACCAAACATGCTTTTAGGCCTCAGAATAGCTTAAAGAGCACCGATGTCAGATCAATATCGAAATGTTTGACATGCGGACAGAAAGAGACTGATACAGTTAACGCTTTGCACATCTACTTCAGCATCTATTCACGCTTGTGCTTTATCATGATCAAGGTGTTTTGGTTCCTCCGTATGGGAAAACTGATTACCAAAAAAAAAAGTTCTTCTTCTTTCACTCAATTTTAAACTATTTCGAATGACTCATCTATTTTCTAACGTGCTTTTCCTTTGTTCCAGCAGATCATTGCACCCAGACTTCTTACCGTGTCAGCAAACTCTTTCCATTCCAAAGATTCTCAGTCTGCTGAGGGAGCTCGACCAGTGCCATAATTCCTCTATAGCGTTCTGTCTCCTAACCAGCTTGCCGGTCAGCCATTTGCACAGTCTCCAATTCTGAAATAAATCACAATGAACCCACAATCCTGCTTTTGAGTCTGCTTTCGGTCGCTTACAGTACAACAGACCACAACACTATCTTTGTTGAAGTGGAACTGAAGCACATATTGATATCGTATGAATTTGACCAGTATCATATTGAAGTGTGCAATTCAACTCTACACTACACAGTCATGTTCTTAATTAGTTTTATGTAATAAACATATTTTCAGAACGTATACATGTCATGAAAGGATGCATGTTAGTAACACAGGGCTAATAAATATCCCACAAAGATACGGTCACAGAGAAAAGCTCATTCACCCCAGATATGATGTAGATTCACATATAAAGCAGCTGACATGTTCTCCAGCCTCCCTTTAATCTACAGCACAGGATAAAAGTTCAGACGGTCTCATAGCAACCTCTTCTTCATGTCCACATTGAAGGCGGTCTCTGTTGCTAATAGCCCCATGATTCTAAAAGACTGTTTATGGAAGATGAGCACGGTTGACATACACATAATCATCAGGAAATGTCGCTGCTACTTTGTTAGAGGATATTCTTTCAGTATAAAAGTAATATGCAGCACAAGGATGAGTATTTTGAAACAACAGTAGGTTTAATTTGGTGACTTCAGGGGTCTGGGAGCTTTAACTCATAACAAAAAATCCAACATATGTTCATTTTTGGCAAATTGGAGCCATTGAACAAATGCAGGTTTAGCTATTGATTGTTCTTTTTGAAGATAACTGCACAGGTATCTGTCGCTCAAAGGGAGCTTTCTTTCTTTGTTTTTATCGATTCCTAAGCAGATTTATCGCTGCTTGCGATGGACACAAATGTTTAACCTTAAACATGTATATAAATTAACCCCTTAAACATTTATATAAAATAATAATGTAATAAAAAAACAAAGAGGATGTGGACCTAATTGCAGAGAACAAAAAAAATGGATTTAAACAAAAAAGGCAAAAACCAAAGTTTACTGTTTCAAGTCCAAGAAGTCCGACACTGGAACAGAAGACGTATGAACTGACGCATGAGGGGGACAGATACTAAATTATAGATGCTCCATTAGATCCAACTACATCCATATTTTTCACTATTTTTAAGGAATATTGAATAAAACATACATGTCAGTCATTAAGACATATTCAACAGATTAACACCTCTTATGTGTTTAATTTGTTTTCAGAGTACTTTGTTAGATATTTGCTGTAAGCCATCTCCTCCCTCACTTTGTGTTTAACGTCTGCTCTCTTCATTATGTAGTTTCTTTGCAGCAGCCTTCGTATTAGATACATTCATTCATTCAAACATTGGAGGGTTAATGGGCAACAAGTTATAAAAACTCTGCTGAAGCAGCGTAATGAGCCTCCTGAAACATGGTGAAACTCTCTGACTGGCCTTTGATTATTTATGTTGATGTTAACAAGACGAGAGCTCTTGACAGATACAGATGATAAATTATTCATTTTCACAGACGGGCATCACTTTTTGTCCTTGCTTTTAGAAAGGATTAAAATGCTACCCACCATAGCTGCTCAGGATGGCCCCTCCTGTTTTGCATTACTCGATTATAATTCTGTTTCTTAAAAGCTGTAAAACACATTTCCTCATGTTTAAGTTGGTTGAGGAGGAGCATCAATTAGTTACTTAAATGCTCTATTAAATAGACTGTCTTAACAGAAGAATGAACAGATTTTAAAAGATTATCTCATGTTTAATTTGTTGAAGAAATAGATGCAGAGGTGGAGTAAAACACTCATGTTTCTTCTGAAATGAAATTGCATATTCTGAAGTGTAAAGTGGAAGATAATCAAGAGCGTAGGCCTAAATAACCACAAATATACAGTAACTTAAACATAAGCTATTTTTTGCAATCTATGGGGAAACAAAGCTGGCAGTTTATTATCATAAAAGGAAAGCTATCTATAAATTGATGTATTCTTTCTTTGGGATATACATGTAAAGGCAAATACTGTTAGACATCACAACACTTGCTGGCTGCATTCTCTAGAAAACAGAATAAATCTCGGATCTGACAAGTCACATAAAAGGCCATTACCAGGCAGAGCATGCTGTCAAACAACACCATATAATGGGCTACCCTGCCACTGTTTATAAGAGTTGTTGCTGTCTAAGAAGTGAAATCGCTGTGGAAAGTGGTCAACATGACTTTTGAATTTAGTGTCTGTCTCGACCCTTAAGGTTTTACCAAATTTGAACCACCAAGCAGAGCAAGGTTTTAAGACTGTAACATTGTGATTAAATCCTTAAAGGTGTGAAAATATACTTTATCATGTTCTTCTAACACTAATATGTTTCCAAGCCTGCGGCAAACCCCTAAATTATGAGAAAAGTCCGTCCTCCCCGTCTTTTGCCTGCTCCACTTTTCAGAAATTGTGTGCTCAAACAGGACATTTAGAGATTCTCCCTTCATGACATCACAAAGGGCAGTGACCCCTCCCCCAGGTGGGTGACACTCCCACAGCTAGGTGTTTGTTAACAATTGGGCATGGTGCAAGAAAGCCAGGGCCATCCAAGCCCTTCCAGAGAGCAGCATGGTCAGACACAGATCATTTACATTTAAAGCTACAGACACTGAAACAGCCTGTTCTGAGAAGGTCTGAAATAGAGGGGTTTATAGGCATGGTAAAATAAAGGATTGGAGTGGATTTTGAGCTATAAACTTCACACACATGTTTTTGAGGATCTCTGAGACTTATTTAGACTTGTTGAAAAGGCGAATAATATATGACCTTTAAAAATAATAATGATAAAAAAAGTTTTTCGACCCCTCAAAAACAGTCTTTAGATCCTTTGTTACATCTAAGAGCTAAAATGAGAAATATAAATGGTCGTTGAGGGTCGAAGAGAGCAGCTGACAGCTTTTTGCTGAAGGTTTCTGTGAGTGAAACCTTCATTGATTCTTTTCTTTCGACCCTTGTGACATCTCTTTCATCATTAAAACTCCTAAGAAGTAAGGAATTTATCAGCTTTAAACAGCCCGCACAGTATCCAGAGGGACTCAAGCGCTTTATGAAATACTTCAGTGTGACAGAGAATATGATTAGAAAAATACTGACAGGGTTGATTATTGACAGAAACTTCTCTCTACAGGCATCAAATCTGATACTGCTTAGATAATTCATTTTCTTTTCTGACTTATTTTATTTGCATGCTGAGGTGTAAGTTTGAGCTTTAAAGCAAAGAAACTGGAAAAACAGTCAAAGTGAGATTTGTACAGTCTGTCATGGTAGCCTAAAGGCTAATTGATGCAAATTGAAACCAAAGAGTATTATAATGAGTCCTTGAAGTGATTCATCTGTTTTTCCCCATTCAGGCATTCAGTGTAGTATATGTAAATCCATAAAGCTCCATTGTCCAAAAGAAATACTGGCTGAATATGGTCAAGATGTTTTTTTTAATTTAGAACACAAACACTTCATAAATACAGAGAAAGCATACATTATTATCAGGCTATAAAAGGTTATTCCACAGTCCACAGGAAACTACAAAGCATGTTTACAGAAAAATCTTAAAACCTAAGTCCATCTTGGCACACACGTGAACAATATACAGAATAGATAAATACATTAAAGAGACAGTAAAAAGGGATTCAAACATGAGTCTTGAGGTACTGATATGAGACATGCAGTAAGGCTGACGAAAGCACAAAATGGCAGTAATGAAAAAAGGGGGACAGCAAACTTGTTGGCAACCATTACTATCACAATATTTCCCCCCGATGCACCTTGTGTCAGGTTTGTTGCATGTCTGCAGAGGCTTTAAATGACAAGTCTTATTTTCTTTTTCTGGGTTGTTCAGTGTTTTAAATTGTGACTGGATAGTTTGCAGTCACATTCTTTACCTACCTCCATGCAGGTTGGCAGACTGAACATGCAATGATATGATCCCTCATACAAAGAGGACGTGAGTGGTATATGAAGCAAAAATAGGTAGAGCTGTTGTTGGGCTTACATAAAGACAACCCTAATAACTCAAGGTGTAAACTATTCTAGAGGTGCAACAAACACCTGTGTGAGGGACATGTCGTAAAAAAGCAGTCTCTACATGCCCACACAGGTCAGAGAAAATGCTTTAAATCCCTATGAAGGTGAACCCTGGTTGTGCAGATGCTTCAACGTTATGTGAGTTGTTTCTCAATTCAGGAACGTAGTCCTTGAGGGGCACATTTAAAGACCGATTACATCACAGCTGCGTTATGAAGCCTGTCCCATTCCTTGAAATTTTCCTTGCAAATGCGTGTCGCTTTTCAACATACTGCGCCAATTAAATTGAAATGGCAGGCTTTCAAGCCGGTGATGATAACACTTTTAAATCTAAGTACTTAGTTTCAACTCAATGGAAAACCTAAAATCTAATGTTGTAAACAAGAATAATCTTGAAACTTTAATCTCTTAAATGATAGGTTTAGTTATGTGAAGTTGGTTATGATAGCTAGTTCTGGTGCAGCTGTCAAGGTTGCTAGGCGTGGCTCTTAGTAATGACATGGTAACAGCCTGAACAGCTGGTGATGCAAACAGGAGAATGGAATGTCTCATTTTGGATCGGTCTGAACACATCTACGAAGGCTACGAAGGCTGGGTCCTTAGATGCTGAACTGGGACACGTCTACTGTTAGTTGTTGTAAGCCGTTCTGACGTTCAGATTCAAACCATGCTAGCCTACAGCTTTTAAATAATAAAAAAATAGGTAGTTATTCAATCAAACCATAAGATAATGATGTTATAAAATCATTAAGAGTCTATGGCCATGCAAGCAGCTATGTGCTGTAGGTTAGCCGCAGTGATGCCTTAAGCTACATGCTAATGCTAACATGTAGATGTTTAGCTGGTATAATGTTCAACTTGTTTACTATCTTATTTTAGCTTGTTAGCCTCCTAACACTTAGCCTAAAAGACAAAGTACTGCCAGATGTTGAGACAGTGTGCCAGGGCTGCCAACTTTTAATTTCAACTTGGAGTGACATTGTTTTGGAGGTAGGGGGTAAAGGAGTCGTAGTAGGCCTAGCCTACTAAGTTTAATTAACTGCGGTTAACAAAATCATTGTGATTGTTGTTGCACTTGTTTGGTTGAAAGTTCAAACCGTGGACTACATGGTTCAAACACATAAATATGATGATAATAATAACTGGTGTGCTCATGGGCAATCCGTTAAAAGTGAAATCTTAGCCGTGAGTACTCTCAGTCAATTGCATGAATGGTTGGCTACATCGTCTCAAAATCATGAATGTCAGTCGAATATTTCCCGACAATTCATTCAACCTGTTTCGGTAATTCAACCAAAGAACTGAACCAACAGTCCACCTGGCCAATGTATTTATATAAAAGGATAAAATTAAGTGCCAAGCCGCTGTTGTAACTTTAAGCTTAATAAATAAAAATGTGTGAGAATAGGGTTTGACCAACTATGGTTTTAGCCAAGATGAGGTTCACCCGAAGAAAAAAATGTTAGGTTAACGCACGTAGAGGTGAAGCATTGAATGGTCAAGTTAGAAACAAATGCCACCAATGTTTAGACCCTTATTGTCGCTACTGCTATTGTTTTCTTGTCAAACAGGATGAATATATCAAGTGAGTGTATCTATGATGTGGAGGAGTGTCGCACACAATAAACAACATAAACTGAGCAGATGGAAATCACAAGTGTCCTTGTAATCAAGAGACACATTATACTGATGATTTGAGAAGGTCACAGTTTCGCATAACCAGCACCTGCTCTAGACAATAATTATGTGAGAAAATACAACCTAACACAGAAACATGATGCAAGTATAAGGACCATCGTACTAGTCTTACTATATTTACAACACAGTTACAACACTGATACAAAAGTAGGACAACTACTACTCTCCAAATTCAACCTGTCAGTAAACAAGAGAACATCTACAAATCTCAGTATCAGTTATTACCAGCAAAAGAAGCTAAGGTAATAGCTGTCTTTTTTTCCCCACAAATAGTTATCATACACTCACCGTCGGTCCTCATAAAGCTTTAAGACAAACTCATCTACAGTAAGCCTTTATTAAGAAATGCTGAAAGTGCTTGCGTCATCATCTGTCTCATTTAACCTCTTGGTGGTTTGGCTGCTAATTTCGTCCTGCTCGGTGACCTGGTCATTGCTCTCGTGGGATGAATCCTTCATCACACTGTAATAAATTGGTATGTTGTACTCTGCTGCCTTTTCCTTTTGTTGCCTTTTGCACTTGCAGAGCTTTTTGAACGCAACGCGAAACTTCTGAGACATGAGGTTGTAAATGATGGGGTTGATGGCACTGTTGGTGTAGATGCACATTCGGCAGAAGAGCAGGAACCAGGTGTTGTTGTAAGGCGGGTCGATGAAGGAGTTGACCACCACCAGCGTCCGGTAAGGCATCCAGAGCAAGGCGAAGAGGATGACCACCACAGCCAGCATCTTTGTTATCTGTTGATACAGAGAAATAAACATATAAGTGTTATTCTAATTTGAGTCATGGTTAACCATGTGAAATAACTCATGCCAGAATAGTACATTACCTTAACCCTAATAAATGGGTCTTTACTGGTATGGTAATGGACCCTTGAGGTTCTATCAAGGGGCAGATTTGCTTCAAGCAAACATCAGTATGCTAACAGGCACACACTGCTAAAAGCCAGTTAATGTAAATAATACCAAGTACATAAAAGATGTTTGCCTTCTAAATAACGATGTCTAGCTCTACCAAGCAATTCACAGCTGCATGGTTCTCACAGTACCCCCTTCAGTTGGACTTTACTGGAAACCTCCATTGAAAGGTGCTCAGGAGGTGTAATCAGTCACCCAACAACTTCAGCTGCCTCTTTTTAATGCAAAGGAGCAACTGCTCTACTCTGAACTCCCCCTGGACGTCTGGGTTATGCAATTATCAATAGAATATGTGTATAACAAAGCACCTTTTCCGAAGGCAGAAGGCATTCATTATGATGCATTCTTTTAGAAAAATGAGCCAGAGACAGAAATTCAAACCAGGACTACTTTCTCACTACCTGGCCAGTCAGAGCTTGAGGTGGGTGTATAGTGGTATTGTGTTGTTTCAGAAAATCACAGTCATTTTCATACAGCCTTTGGCCTCTGACATCAGACAGTTGGGGGTGTTTGACTATCTGGCTGAAGCTTCCAATAAAGATACTGCCAAATTAACAACATGCTAATTAGGATGTCTGTTTTGCCCTGTTTACATACTTACTAAGCATGACACAAAGAACATGAGGGTGATGTAAATATTATTCATCATAACCAGAGTTTTTGACCTTGAAAAGGTTATAGACCAAATATCAGGTCACAGGTGGTTTGATCAGTTGGGAAACCAAGAACATCTGGTCGGACAAAAAGTTAGTTGAAAAATCTCAATTTTACTGACGTGATGGATCGATCGTCCCTTATTTGAATGAAAAAACAAGATTTGAACAATTCTGACCAATACACTCCCCCCCCTAATTCTACCACATAATACCCTCTTAATCAGAAATTGTTGAGGAGATTTCTATTTTTCTTTGATAAACATGAATAAACCTGCTTTTTACTCTACCACTGTATGTCCATCTAACCTTTCCAGTACCTGTTTCCTTGCAGAGACCGCACTCTTGTTAGCCTTGTTGGTGCTGTTGGAGTGACCGTGGTGAACCGACCCTCCTCCGGCCCTGTCGCTCAGGTGTGAGGGCAGAGGGCTCATGAACAAAATCCTGGCGATGAGTCCGTACAGCACAGTGGCCACAGTGAGTGGGATCACGTAGAATAAAGTGAAGTCCAGAAAATAGATCGGCATGTAGAAGCTCCTGGAGACGCGGTAGCCACAAGTGACCACCACGCCGTTGGTGTAGACCGTTTCATCGGTGTCGACTAAAAAGAACCACATAATGCAGTAGAGTGAGGTGAAGATCCAGACTCCTGCTATGATCCTCTTGGCCCGGGAAACGGTGCATATGAGCTGTGCCTTTATTGAGTGACAAATCGCAATGTAGCGTTCGATGGTAAAAGCTGTGATGGAGCATGACGACACGTTGATGCCCAGGTACTGAAGATAAGTTATACACAAACATCCGGTGTACCCGTATATCCAGAAGGCTATAACATCAGAGATATTGGGCAGCCCTGCAGCCAGGAGCACGATCAGGTCTGCAACAGCCAGGCTGACAAGGTAACAATTAGTCGGGGTCACCATATGTTTAGTGCGCAGGACAACCAGCACCACCATGATATTTCCAGCAATCCCGACTACACAGATGAGTATTGTCAAAAATATAGTTATGACCTGCTCTTCAAGAGGGTTCAGAGGCATTTCTGTCAGGTTTACAACCCTGGACACATCCTGAAAGATTGTGGTGTTGTTCTCCATTGTGGTTGAGTCCAGTCGCTACAAGTCAGTTGATCGCAAGAGAAACAGAACAAGAATCCTAAGGACAGAAACAGATAAAGACAACAGATGAGGAATGTGAAAATATTGAGATGGGGAAGGGATTTAACTTTATTTTTCTGTTTAAAAATATCAGGTCTCTCCCCAGTGTTGGTTATATATTTTATATATTTTTTCCTTGACATTGGGATAAAGCCTATCCCCTACCGATATTTTGGAAAAACATATTTGATTAAAACAATGGATCAAAATGGGATGCAAAAAAATTAGCAAACAGAAAATGCCGCTTATAGTGCTGAGCTTTTAAGTTTATGACTCTTCATGTCCCCTCAGCTTTAAAGAGTTTTATATAAGTTTAGCTAATTGTTTTGCTAAAGAGCTACTTATGTCGCTGAGGAGCATGTGGTGACCAAAACATAAATAATAAAAGTAAATATTGATTTACATTCATTAGGAGGACAGAAACACAACTCTGAAAGGATATTAATGCTTCCCAGTTATTACTGGATGTTAAAGTTTACCAAATTAACCGAAAAGGTAATAAATAAGGATGAATTTCACAACTTGTTTACGCTGCCCTCAAGTCGCCAAAAAAATCATCTATTGAAGGTTTGCTCAAAGTGATTGAATTAAGCCAGTATAATTGAAATTACAAGTGAAATAATTGATTGCCTAATATTTATTTTATATAAATAAATATTCAGCCACTCTTAGAGGGGTCATATTATGCTTTTTCTGGTTTTATATGCTCTTTAGTGTGTTTCCCAAGCGTCCTGTGCATGTTTAGGCACATCTATGTGCAAAAATTCAGCGGAAACGCAGCTTCTCCTACGTCCTCCTGTTAGCTGTAGCATTAGCTGCATGTAACGCTCGGTTCTAGCCACCATCGAAAAAAATTTGCCAGTGTGACATCTTGTCAGTGTGATATCACTGATCTAAGCCCATTGGCTCGTTGTGGCAAGCCCTGCAGCTCATGTTGCACGCTCATTAACTTCTGTAGCACGCCCACGATATGCCGAAGCCTGCGGTAGCACAGTAGTGCTAAGGTGCTCTAGAACGTGGGCACTTCAGAGCCTTAGCGAGAGAGTCAGAAGCGAGCCGGTGCATGGAGCGGCAGTACATGAAAACAGACACTTTTTTCGAAAGGCATAATATGACCTCTTTAACATTTTTTTAAAAAGAACATTGACTTGGGATGACTTGTAAGTAAATAAATGCTTATTCACATAGAGATAACATTTACAGCTAAAACCGATCAAAATTCTCGTGTTTTCTGTGTTTCTGCTCACTGAAATCATTTTTGTATTAACTAGTTGACTATGAATTCAGCCCTAAAACACTGACAGGATTCTGAAGTGCATGTTAATGACTGTCCAGACAAACTAGTCATCCTTTATGACTACTTGATCCTTTTTTTAAATATCCCAAGTGAAGGCTGACAGAAACATTTGGGGTGATTTAAAACAGAAAAAAGACTCTCTCCTGTTCTGCCAGACCATGTCAGACTTCTCTCCCTTCATTATAAAAGAGTCTTCTGTCGTTTCTGACTTTAAATCATTCTTTTGAAAAGCCCCAGAACATATTAGAAATACGTAGCCACATCATTCCCATTTAACTTATTTCAAGAATATAAAAGTATGCAACAGTACATTAATTAATGAAAAAAAAAGAACTAGAATTATAAAGAGAAAAAAAATGGGCATCTTACCATTATTTCCATAAGGCAGCACTCACTCTGGCATCGCGGCAGCACTCAGGTACAATCAACCAAGAAACACAGATGACTGTTCAGTCCTTCTCTAGAGCCGCTCCAGCCATCACATCTCTCTCTCTCTCTCTCTCGCTCTCGCTCTCTCTCTCTCTCTCTCTCCCCTTTTTCCCAGTGCACCCCTCCCTCTGTTTCACATCACACACCAATATATCCACACTGCCACACACTGATCTGTACAGCCACCAACTTAAAAATCAATTCCACCTCCCCATCCAAGCTCAGTGAGAGTGTCATGTCAAACACTGCGGCCAAGACTGTGACCATAAACCCTGTAATTACTGAAAGAACATAGAAGGTAGCCTGCAATTGAACACATCACCCTCTGCAGTGGACGACCACTCAAGTGAAATGGCACTGGTTGTGTAGTGGGCCTGCTTTGCCGTTAGCTGACATAATTTAGTTGACTCCTTATCTTGTTTAAAAGGGAACAATAACAGCTTTTGGTTCTCTTGTTTTTCCTACACTCAGAAGTCCAGAATTCAAGCATTTCTTATCGCTTGAGGGACTTACTGTACATGAACATGCATCATAATTTGAAGCTTTCTATTTCTGTGAGGCACAGTTGGGAACCCTTTCATAGCTCCCGGCACTCTGGTAGTGTGGTAGATGCTGAAACTGATAAAAGCTGCTTTGAAGAAATAAGAAATAAAATCTGCTTTACAAAGCTTCAAATAACAGACTCGAACAAACCACTTAGTAAAGCTCTTAAAACCTTTACCTATGGAAAGTACTTTCAGTATGAATGCTAATTCATGAAGGATGACTGCATTTTCAAGGAGGGAAGAATAGTTTTCAATTGCAGAGGATTCAGTCCAACAGACATCCTCGAATGAATAGACAAGAGGTTCATAAAGGGAGAAATAATCCTGCAGAACAATTTTTGTCCAGGTAGTTGACTGATTGAACTTCTACATGCTAAGGAGTCCGTCCTATAGGGTCAGACAAAGAACTATGATTAGTGTACTTGTCTTCAGCTATATGCACACATTCTTTCTGGAGGTGGGTCAGCTAGGAACACATACCTTGCATTTAGGAACCAAACATGCCAGGCTTAAAAAACATGTATCATTGTTCTTCTTTTGTAAACACATGCTTGTTTAAAAATGATTGTTTATTCAAACTTTAAAGCAACTAGGAAGGAAGGAAATTGGAACATTGGATAGCAAAAGGTACTTTTTTTATTTTCATTCTAACATTAATCAATCATCTGCTTCACTGCCTTTCTGGGGAGAATAAGCCCAGAGCTGTCGCACACACAAAGTTATCAACACGCTGATGTGAGAATTTATAGTAACAGAAGCTACATGAATAATTCATTATTTCTAGACCAACAACAGTGTACCGTCTTTACACAGGAGGCTGAGTTTTGAGACATTAATGAAGTGGACAGAAGTCAGGAATAAAAATAGATTAAAAACAAGTATTCTATTATTATTCTGGGGTCTTAAAATAAAGTCCCAAAGCCTCATGGGAGTTTTCAAGCAGCAGTACGCTGATGAAATGCGAGGGACTTTTTTGAGAGAACGGAAGTGATTTCGTTTTTTCATCGAGGGCATGTTGGTCAAAATAGGCTGATGATTTATCCGCTGTGTGTATGAAAAAAATTATTTCACCCAATCACAACTAATTTAGGAAGTTGTCAGATCCCCCCTATTGCTGTTCAATTCCTGGCAGAAAGTAGAATACAACTCTCTGCCCTCATCTGTCCGAAGCACATTAGTGGCATCTAGTGGGTCTGAGCGGTATAGATAAAATATAAAGAACACACTCATCACACAGAAAACAGTTGTTCTGTATGTGGATGGAAACTAGTGAGGTGGGATATCTATGAAACCACATGAGGGGGGGGAGGGGGGGAGCAGGCCCATAAATCAGAGCTAAACATTAAACCGACCTTGTGGACCAACATTAATGAAAAAATATTTAAAATGACTTTAACTGACTAATCATTCCTGTTCCGACTAGTAAGGGTGATAATGTTCAATATTCTAGTCGACTAACCGCATGACTCCACTGTCGCCTCTGACCACAGTGGGCCTCTAAAGCCCCGCCCACCACCGACTGAAGCATTCTTCTGTTGTTTTTTTTGTTCTTTCATCTGAAATAATAATAATACTAAACTGTCAGTTTGTATAAGGTTAAAATACCAATAAATTAATGCAGTCAGTCTTAATATGCAAATAAGAAAAGTAGACTGTTGTGATTGCTTTGTTGCTGATCCTGTGTAATGATGATGGCAATGTGTCAGGTGACCGTGGGAAATTAAATAGCCGATAGCGGAAACATGTTGGCAGTATAGGGGGCAACGAGTTTGACATCCCCTCAATTTATCTTTTCCCTATTTTTTGTTTTTTTGACTACCCATTTCAACTATCATGGGTAAAGGGATCCTTTGTAGGAATGAGCAGACTCCATTAACAAAGTTTCTCAATGAATCGTACTTCTCTTGAGGATATTTGTTCCTTATTGTTAAAATAGAAAATAACCTCAGAACGATTTGGTAATGAAAAGCTTTATTGTATATACCATTACACACTGTGGGCTGTAATGCATTGATATTGTTGTCCCTAGCCAAGGAAACTATTGTTGCAAACATGTTGTGTCGATCCTTTATAACAGATGATATCTACATTTCATTCAGTGACAACACAGTAATTTTTCCTAAATATTATCTGATCCAAGTGTGAAAGCCACAATCCTGACCAACAGACTGACATTACTACTACACAGCTAGTATTGCTAATAAACAAGGCTAGCATAGCACTATCCAGAGTAATTTCAAACAGTAGTAACCTCAATGGAAACAGCCTCTTTTGTTCCTTATTGTTAAAATAGAAAATAACCTCAGAACGATTTGGTAATGAAAAGTTAAAGCTACTATTTAAAAAAATCTTTAAAGCTTCCCAAAACTTTATTGGTTGAGGTGGGGCTGTATGTGCGTGTATATACCATTACACACTGTGGGCTGTAATGCATTGATATTGTTGTCCCTAGCCAAGGAAACTATTGTTGCAAACATGTTGTGTCGATCCTTTATAACAGATGATATCTACATTTCATTCAGTGACAACACAGTAATTTTTCCTAAATATTATCTGATCCAAGTGTGAAAGCCACAATCCTGACCAACAGACTGACATTACTACTACACAGCTAGTATTGCTAATAAACAAGGCTAGCATAGCACTATCCAGAGTAATTTCAAACAGTAGTAACCTCAATGGAAACAGCCTCTTTTTGCTCCTTTTTATTCAGCTTCTCTTGTGTTTTCCTCATTGAATAAGCCACCCTCCTCTCCTCTTGCTCTCTGAAAAACGATGCAGAGATCTTTCTGCGCAGACGTCTGGCGTAAACCTCGAGGAACACCAGAGAGTAGCTCATCAGCCAGAGACATCCCAACAGGAGAGTGACTCCCAGGCTCGGAGCCGAAGTTTTCACATCACAGAGCGACGGCTCCGGGTTGAAGGTCCACTTGTAATCCCTGTGGAAGTTGGTGAGCTCCCGGGTTATGCAGTTATGTGGGATGATGCAAAAAGCAGGGGGGAACCACTTAACCTAACAGGATTTTTTTTTAAAAAAAGAAGCAATTTTATGCATTTCAATAACAGAAAGCAGAGTGGTGAAAGTGTTTGTGTATTGTCTTACCTTGTAATTCACACTTATGATGGCGGATGTTGGTGGGAAATCCAGTAACCATGGCAAAATCATCTGAACTATATGATACACGACGTGGTCCAAAGCTACTATTAAAGTTATTGCAATGAAGTATAATGTTACCACAACCAGTGATATCAAACAAGAGGTGCATTCTTGACTTGTTATTTTGCAGCTTGTGGGGTTAGTTTTATTTTTAGCTGGCCTTTTGTTAGCAGCATGAGTCGCCTGGTTCTGGAGCTCTTTGCAGATGTAGCTATTATCGAACTGCACTGATGTCAGGTAAGACTTCAAATAGCGTGCAGATTCAAAGACTAGCAGAGCAACAAAAAGAGCAGCAAGAATCCTGTTCGAGAGCAGTTTGCACTCTTTGAGCAGGTTCCTGGCATGTGAGAAGTTGACCTCTATCTGCCCAATTATCTTAGTAAACCTGCTTTTGACTTCTGACACATCAACATGTGTGAAGTGATCTAACTTCCTCAAGTTGGTGACAATGCTCAAGTCTTCCCTTCTCACTTTGACCGTTTCCGCAACAAGGTCTCGCTTTGCTGTGTTCAAAGGTTCCGAGGAATTCAGTAAAGTCTTTGTAAAACCCTCAGCAGTGCATTTCAGGATGCGTGCTACCGCTCCAACATTCACCGATATATTAGGGACAACATTCAAAACTAAAATCATGACAGAGGCCGAAATGAGGAGTCTGCGTCCCTCTTTAGTACAGACAGTTGGCAGAGTCATGGTCAGTACACAGCGCAGAGGATGACACAGGAACGAGACCAGAAACACCGTAACACTGTAGATACAGGCGGTCTGAATGGAGCCTTCATGGTTGTATTTCAGAGTGTTTGACATCCAGTGATGAAGCAGGCCGCCTGTGATTACAGCGAGTGTGAGACAGAGAGACAGAAGAGCCAGGATGTTTTTGCCAGTTGGTGTGGGTACGGAGTAAACATCCCAGAGATACAGCAAGACCGATTTAAGAGCTTGTCTGCAAGATCCTTTTCTTTTCCTGAGAGGATAAAAAAACAAAATGAAAAACTTTATGGAACAGTTTGGCTTTGGAAAAAAGGCTGAAATAGTAAAAGAAGAGTAGTAGAAGAAGAAGATAAGTAGTAAAAGCAGAAGAACAAGAAGGAGTATTAGTAGAAGATGAAGAAACAGTAGTAGAAGTGGTAGAACAAGTAGAAGATACTACATAAAGACTACTTAAATGCAGTCAGACAATGAGAAAAAGGGGAAAACGTCTCCCTATTGAGAACTAATTTCAAGGGCTTAAATTAAGAGTTGGTGGCTAAATGATGATTTTGTGAGCAAGAGGACAAATGGCCGAACGCGTTGATGTGATTTTGATGTCTGTGATCCAAGAAATGTGGAAACCACAGCGATCTAAAAAGTTAGTCCCAAGAGGTTTGGTCAGGGAAGTTTTTGGGAAGTTTACCATTACACCAGATGGTGAGTTATCTGGACCACCTGCCGCTTTGAAGCTCACAGTGTCAAAACCTTTGCTCCGTTTGTCATGAAAACTCATTGTGTGAGAGAGGACAAGTTTTCCTACATTTTGAGGGTACATTTATTTGTGTGGGGTGAACATTGTGGTCAGTAGAGCAATTTGTTCGGGCGATTTTGAAACTATCTCAGAACTCTGTCGCACTCTAGCGATGATGTCACGCACTCTAGCCCCGAACATTCCACCACACACACACCCATTCAAAAAATGTGAAAGCGGTTAAAAACATCACAAAACAGTTGGAGGTACAGTTTGAAAAGTATAAAAGGTAGCAAGAAAAGTGAAAGTAGTTTAAATAATAATAATAAAAAATAAAATAAAAAAAATGTGAACGTTTTAAAGTAAAAATTGAGTCTCTAGGCGGAACAGAGCCAACGTTATAAGGCTGAGAAGAAAGTGGAACGTTTGAAAATTTTCCATTTACCTCATTTGAATGGAAATCTGATTTTCGTGGAAAAAGTGAAATAACTTAAAAAGTAAAAGTAGTTGAAAAGTAAAAAAGTCATGCAAACGTGTTCCGAAGAAGCCGAATACTTAGTATGATAGTTGGCTGGTGGAAGTAGCACAAACGGTTGAAGAGTTGAAATGCGGCTAAAACGTACGGAAGTAGAGGAAGAATAATAAAGATTTGGATAACAACAGTGTGAATGCTGTTTACACCATTCCCATTAATTAAGTTTTTATTATGGGAAAACCAACGCTGGTATTTTGAGACAATGAGATAAAAAAAAGTTGAGATGAAGCAGATGTACTGATAAATGGCTTCACCAGGCTTCAGTGAAATCAATACTTTATCTTTTTTATAGGCTTGATAAACTAAATAAACATAGGTGTAAACTTCTGACCCCTGCCAGCTAGTTGTTTGTTTGCTGAGTCTGTATGCAAGACTAAACTAAGCTAGACAAAGCTAACCATCTTCTGGGTTCAGCCTCACATTGCTGAGAAAGAAACAAGACTGAACACTCATCTGTCACTCAACATGAAAGCAAATCTGCAAAACATCCAAATCAACACAACTGAACCTTAGCAACAGTGAAGGAGGTGTTTAACGTAGCTTAGCCAAAAGACTCAGGTCAGAGGGAAAAACAGCAAAATGTGTTCAACTTTTTATTAACGAAAAAAGATAATCAAATCATGATAGGGTGTATTAACTCATAATCAAAGTAATCACAGTGAACCAAAGACAATAGCGGTCAACAAAAAATATGTCAACCCAGCTCACCTCTCTTCCACTGAGAACAAAAGATGAACAGGTGAGTTAAATCAATACAACCTCCCTTCCCCTTCCAATGTGACCCGCTATCCCCCTACTCAGTATAATCCCACAATAAATTATATCATAATCAAAAACCCAAAACTCTGAAATATAACACACTACATACCTTAACCTTAAAAATACTTCAAAAGGTAGGCCTACACTTAAATTCATCCAGGGCTCCAACAAGAAGTCAGTCTTTATATGCAAATGGTTAAGCTGAAAATGTAAATTCTTTTTACTCTTTGGGTTCGATTCTCGTTGAATATAGAAACTTCTTAGCAAGGTCTCCCTTTGAAAACAGATCTCTGGACTCATTGGACCAACCTGGCTAAATAATATGCATCAGAACTAACCTGCTATGAAACTATTATTGAAATAATGATATAAACAGATCATTATGGAAAATCTAAAGAAAATCATTTGGCCTTTCAGACGAAATTTAAAAGGCATAAGTAACAGTTCCTACCTGGCAGGCGTAATAATATTCTCCCTGATGGACTTCATTCTCTCTATGAAACTATGAGCTTAAGATTCAGTGTCAGGAGGACTGTGAGGGTGAAAAGGGGAACTTCTCTGAACAGTCACTGTCATGTTGGTATTTGTGGGTCGCCTACAAGTTCCCATGAGAAAATAGGTGATTATAAAACAGCTGTTCTGTGTGAAACATATGGTGCACATGACACAAAATCATATGGAGAGACATGATGCAACATGACACACGCACAATGTGACACTGGTCATACAAATTCAGTGTCACAATGACAACATTTGATGCTGTTTGTACTATTTGTTCCAGTTAACCCACATAATCGGACAGAAATAGATGAAATACTTTTCCAGGAATAAAGGTTATGCCTTAACACTTATCAACTTTGGTTTGGACCTTCGCTCTTCTGATTCAGAGGAAGTGTACAGTAGCTATTTGCTACGATTTGCAACTATTTCAGGGTGAACCATTCCATGTTGTTTGTTATCTAGACTCATTTTCCAGAAATAGTTTTCCAAAATTAGTCATATTTTTTATTGTGGGTGTTTGGAAAGTTTTGTTTTGTGTAATTTTCTGTTTATTTTTGTTGTTCTGTTAACAAAGCTACCACTACACTAGCTATCTGCTCGATCCTACACAGTGTTGATTTGTTGAATCATCCTGCTGTTGGACCAGCTGTTGCCCTTTTTTTTCCTGTTACTTTTAAGGACTGCATTTAAGTTTCCTAATCAACCGATGGCGATGCCTAATCTTACCGTAAGTCAGTTATATATCCATTGTTATTATTTGGTTAATATTGACATTTTACTTAATATACCACAATATAAAAAACACATAGCCTATTTGTTGATTTGATTTGAGTAAACTCTCCCCCAAAAGATGGATTTAAAGGATAATAGTTATGATCAATAGAAAATGCCTCATTTGCATTTGTGTTGGTTACATCTACAGTAAATTAAATATTTCCTGTTGTCTTAAACTCCTGGAAAAACAGGGATATAAATCAGCTTTGGTTGAAATCTGTGTCAGAGGTTGTTTGTGTTGTGCAGACAGTTAGGAACATCCTGTCATGGTCAGTGGGTTTCAGTTGAGCATTTTACAATTTTGCATTTAATCACCACAGGACCTTTTGCACCGGCTCTGCTAACATTGAGTAACCACCACATCCTTGCACAAGTAAACCATTGTTTTGAGGCCTCGTGACTTCTGAGAGTTTACTACAGCAAACAAACATTGTAAGGAATTTACAGCTGTGTGCTCCCTCTGGCTGTGAGCGTGTGTGTGTCCGTGTGTGTGTGTGTGTGTGTGTGTGTGTGTGTGTGTGTGTGTGTGTGTGTGTGTGTGTGTGTGTGTGTGTGTGTGTGTGTGTGTGTGTGTGTGTGTGTGTGTGTGTGTGTGTGTGAGTGTGTGCTCAGAGGACAAAATGTGTTGAATATGTGTGAAACCTGCAGTACTGCAGATACAGCTTGTAATAACCCATTACAGGAAATAAAAAGACCAACTGAATAATTGTACGGACTCAAAAACTTTATTTCCTATTTTTTTGAATACAAATCACTTTGAAACAAAATGAATTCATTTGTGTTGATTTCTTCTCTCATACAGATTGCATGTTTTTATATTCAATGGCTTTGGCAACTTCACATGTGCCATGTAACACATAAACAACTCACATCATCTCTTTTTGATTGATGAAAACATTTTCATATTTTACAGTGGCATATCTTATATATCTATAAATCTTCCAGCAGAGGTCAGACTGGTAGCAGCAATATGATCAGAAAACTCTAAAACTCTAAAAATATAAAGCACTCTTCAAAGCTCTGTCTGCGGTTGTTGAAGGTGTTGAGTTTTAAATTCTCTCCTGCCCAGTTTAAAGACAGCTTGAGCTTGTTTTACCTTAGTGCATCGTTTCAGCCTAAACCTTCAATGAGGCTTTTTAAACTGGTTATGAAACTGTTTTATTTTAAATAAAATAAAAACTCATTTTGACCTATCAAAGCAAACAAGAGCACTGGCAAAAGACTGGCTTTGTTTTTCTAGACATTCTTGGGTCTTGCGCCATGCAAAATCAACCAAAAAACCATCAAAGAGCTTTGATGTTTTCCCATCGAGCAGTCCGTTAGGCAGTCAAAGAGAAACTGGATGACATCTTTCCTGGGCAATACTTTGCCTTTAGTCCATGGCTAACTTAGCACTGATGTAGAAAGACTATTAGTTTTCAGCCTGAAATCTTGACCTTCAGAGCTTCAAAAGACACTTAAATGTAATGGGATTGAATTCATCAGAACAGGTAACAGCTGAAGCCCCCAGAGCAGTGACACAGGCCGTTTCCGAATAGCCACAGTTCAGTATGCAGTGCGTACTTTTCAGTAAGGGAGTTTCAGTATACTGAACTTTAGTGGTCATTCATTGTGCAGTTTTTGGGTCCACCTCAGTATACTGAACATTTCAGTATGGATACTAACTTCTGGGTTTATGCAGTATGGATCGGATGCATCCTTTCAGGAAATGAATTGTATTTTACCACCCACAATGCTGTGCGAAATTAAACGTAAATCGTCACGTCACGTCCGCCTCCAAATCAAAACAAACGAGCGTGGATTAATATAATCAATTTTTAATCTAGAGTTAAAGTCCAGACTGAAATCGCTACTTTTAATTAACAACAGACAATATATCAAATGTCTGCATTATTATAAAACCGTTCCCCCTCTATTTAAATAATGATTTCACTATTTAAATGTGTCTTTATTGGTTTATTTTACTTTACTGTATATTACTCTTTCATTTGTACTTTCCTTTATGTACTGTATGTTATTTAGTTATTTAATCTGTCTTTTACTTGTGATATCGTTTTTTTTACCTGACTGTATATGCGCATTACTCTTCTTGAATAAAGCTAAACAAAAAATAACTGGGGTATGCGGCCGGTTCGGGTAACATAAATGACGCCACTTCCATACTGAATGAATCAGAAGAAGTAGGAACAAATATCTGCCGACTGTGCGCGCCTACTGAATAGTAGATACTAAACAGTATACAGCACGGATAGTAGGTACTGCCTACTGCCTACTGCATACTGAAAGATTGAGTAGGTACTTGGCAATTCGGATACAGCCACAGAGTTTATATCAACAGGCAATCCCTCTGACACTTCCTCTATGCTCATGCTGAGATAGAATGTGTGATCATCAGTGTGTAGTATTGAGCAACTGGACAGATGAGAGGTGGACACCTGTAAGAACAGCAGACTTGTTCAGGGGATGAGCCCACTCTGGATAAGTGTTCAAGTTGAACATGGCGACGCCCCACGTGTTCATGGCAAGAGAAACTGAGAGAACACCCAGGATGTTCATGACAAAGCCAGTCTTCACCTGAGAAAACAGGGTCAAACACATGAGGACAGGTAATGAATATAACAATATAGCTTAGTGTGGTGGAATATCTGCAGTTATTTAGATTATAATGTACAGACGTCATTAGGTTTATTCACTGTTCTCTAATGTCAGTCAGACCTGATAGGGTTCAGCTGTCATTAGAACACCAAGTACAACTCAGAGAGTGTCAACTGTTTTTCCTGATATCTGCAAGGATGTTTGGTATCCTCGTGAGTATTCATCTTATGTATAAACTTTCATCAACGTAAGCCATCTGAGTCAACTGAGTCTTATTGTGTGGAGTCAAGTCTTAGTAATTTCCTCAACACTTAGGATCAAGTACTGATGTGAGGATCCTACCATGTCTGTGACCATGAGATGTCCTGATGCAAAGGCGATGGAGTTGGGAGGTGTGGACACTGGCAGCATGAAGGCATATGAACATCCAATTGTTGCAGGTATCATGAAGTACAGAGGGTTCACTGAGACGTGATTAGCCTACAGAAACAAAAGGCATTATTAATGACAATATTAATAATATGATATATTATAGACATAATAAGCAGACCTATTGTCTGCTCCAGTGTAATTGACGTCACAGTTTAGTCTAGGTGGGTCAATGTGACACGACCCTGATAATGGTAATGTCTTTTGGGATATATGCGATGCCTTTCAAAAAGTTCTGCAGATGTGATTGAGCAAGACACGAGAAGTGTGATGTTGAGTCATGTCTCCTCGAGTATTCATCTTATGTATAAACTTTCATCAACGTAAGCCATCTGATGTCAACTGAGTCTTAGTAATTTCTTCAACAGTTACTTTGCAGTATCAGCTCCGGTACAAAGTTGAAAAGCCCAAGATAATAATTAATACCAACAGCAGTTAATGTCCAACAGCCTACAAACATAAGAACATCGATTGTGAGAGTTAAACACGCTAACTAAGTCTTTGAATAACATAAAGGATGAGGTCGGCAGGAAACTTGTGAAACATTAACAAGTCCCTTAGTGTGAATTTGGCCACAGTGCCAACAGGAACACACAGCTAACAGATTCCAGTCCCACTATCTATCTTTAATTTGATGCCGCAGTCTTACCAGTTCTGCAATGACGGGTAAAAATATGATAATCGTGGCAGTGTTGCTGGCAAACTCAGTGAAACACGCTAGGAAAGCAGTGATCAACATCACAGCTGCAGCAGGAGGGACCTCGGCCAAAGGCTGGAGGTGGCCTCCCATCCATGAGGCGAGACCAGACTCCTGCCAAGAGCCACAAGAGAAGGTTAAGGGTCAAAGATCAAATCAAAACATAATACAGCATAGCGAAGGACAAAACCAAACAGAGCAGAGCAGCACAGAGGAGAAATGAGAGATACAACAGAAACATTACATGTAATTCATCCTGCATTCAGGTGGAAGGAAACTGAAGCAAACTAAGTTACAGTTTGTTAGCCTAGCATACCGTAAAGACTACAAGTACAGCTAGCATGTCCGTGTTTATAAAGTTTGTTCAAATATAAATGAATCACATAATGAAAACCAGATTTTGTAACATTTTTACAAAGCCTCGCAAGTAAATTCCCCTTGTTGGCTTAGCTAAGCTAAGAAGCTGTAGCTTGGCTGTAGCATTTACTCTCTAACTTCGGACAGAAAAGCAAACAGGAGAATTTCCCATTTTGTTTAATCAATTTATATGGCAGAACATACAAATTAACCCATACTTAATTTGCCATATTCGCCTGCTGTTCATTTCCTTTGGACTTAATGAGTGGAAATCTCAAATGCTGTTTAAATTCAGTTTTTCTGTGTTCATGGTAGTAAGTCAACATACAACATATTTGCTAACCCATTAGCTAGCTTTGGAGAGCAGTGAATGTTAGCTTCTAAACACTTATCAGCTAACATATCTAAATAGCTGCTGATCTTTTAACACTATCAGGTGGTTAGTATTAATACAGTCACGGCTACCAGTAACCTAATATTAGCTTGTATGATGAATGCTCATAGCTATTGCTCACACTTTAGTTTGCTTTGTTCTTGCTGTTTGTCAAAGCACTTTGTAAACCTATGTTTTTAAAAGGTGCTATATAAATAAAGTTATTATTATTATTATTATTGTCTCATGAATCTGGTGAATTAAAATGAATGTTTCAGATTTCCTGTATTTTTTTACATCTATAACCTGGAACAAGGCAGTATGCCATAACAGCATAGCTTTCCATCCTGAGTGTGATTGAAGAGGAAAACAGCAGCTGTATGCAAGATTGCAATTACAGCACACGGTCAAATCGTTTACCTCACAACCTTTGGCCATAGCGAAGCCGCCTCCGAGCAGCAGAATGATATTCCAGGGGACAGAGTCCTGAGCTTTTTTCCATGATAACAGAGGGACATACGGAGTATTTGAAGCTGAGGAAAAAATAGGTCGAAGATACTTTAAAGCATGTAAATCAGTGTACTTCTAGTGATGAAATATACAACAGAAAACTCAAAGAACTGGTCATGATTGATCAGCCAGGAGATTTAGTATCCCGTTTGATCAATTCAGTGTTTCCGACAACCATAGCATCATGCATCACCCACTTAGCGATTACGAGATTAATGCTGCTCATTTAAACATATTCATTGGTCATTTAAAAACAGATTTCAGTATAACAATGTGTTGTTTACTTCCTGCACATACAGATGATGTGTTTCTGAGCTTTAATTGATGGTGTGTTTCATGGTAAAGACACTCAACAGAATAACAGAAATATAACCACAAAATCAGGCAAAACGATCATAAAACCAACTCAGGGTCCCTTAAAGTAGCCTTGGCTGCTTCAAATTACAAATAGAGAGGGAAACATGAACCCTATGAAAGTTTCAGCACTTGATGGCTAAGATGGTTTTTTTATTTCTTTTTATTTTGCTTGCATCCTGTGGTTTATTTGACCAGCTGAACATAATATACACAATCGAGCAGACGTGTCTTCAACACACACGATACAGTACAGTTTGTGCACATGCTCGCACAAACACACACTTGCACAAGAAAACCCCCCCAAAGTGTGACAGCATAGTTCTAAGAGATTATTATAATCGGAGAAACAGAGAAACTGTAGTTTGAGCTCCGCAGACTCTCTAATCTACATTATTAACATTCCTCAGCTTATTTTCAGCATTTTGCAATCGCTGTACTCAGACTGGCTTTGAATATTTGGTAATCAATATTATCTCCTGACCTTTCTTAATGAAACCACACCAGCTGCAGACATCTTCCATTTTTTTATATCTTAATAGGTGATTATAAAACTTTGTTCCTTTTAATTCGCGTTGATTGTCCCTCATCTAATCACACTTGATATATATGTCATGACCTTAATTTCATAATAACAGGCAGAACGAGTAGATAAGGTAAGATAAGATAAGGATCACTAATGAATTCCGACTGTGCTGTCTGGCAAATTAAACATTAACAGGTGATAAAGAACCGACTGACCTTTAGGGTCGAACCACCAGCTCAGAGAAGGTTTCTGCGAGGGGAAGAAGAAGAGTATAGACACAACGATAACACCAGTGACTGCATCTGAGACGTACCTGCAGAACAAGAAGGGGGGGGGGGGGTTAACAGAAAAAGATAATGAGAAGGCCTATCAATATTTAGATTCAATGATCATTCCCAAACAGGAAGTGAAACTACAACATTCATTTTCATCAAATGTCCCTTTCTTACCCTTTTTTAAAAAACACAGACCAGCCGGTGACAAATTTGGGATCTCTAGTGAACAAGAGAACGGCAAAGAGGACGAAAAAGAAAGAGATCGCTCCCTCTGCAAAACTGAAATAAAGTGTTCAGAGTAAAATAAGTTAAAAGTTCTGGGCAACAGTGCAGTCATTCACCCTGTAACGCATGAGATCTGAAGACATACACGAGTCCTCACTTTATGGGCCCTAGTTTTCTGTAATCTTCCTCTATTAGAGCCCTCGCTCTGACCTCTGCATCAGCTCGCCGGTCGTGTTTCTTTAAGCACAATCTGCAAACGATAAAAACACACATAATGACATAAAAACATATTCTACATGAACAAAAAATACACAATTAAGAGAGATAAAATTTCATTGTATGAAAATAGCGAGGTGGTCCAGCTAGTAAAGCATTTCAGTACATTTATCCTTTTAACCTGTATACAAACTTATTAATGTGCATCAAGCAAATGTCCAACACCACATTACCGTGTATTCAATCCTCCGTAGAGAAAAGAGATCCAAAGCCATCCCAAAACCAGGAAGAGAAGCATGAGCGGGAAAGCAAACGCAAACCAGGAGCCAAAGTTGATAAGGTCACATTCTGGAAAATAGCTGAAATACAAAGGATATGATGTCAAACTAATGGAAAAGGGTTGGTTTTAAATGCAACATGTTCACTCTTTCCGTGATGCATAAAATAAAAAAAGTTACCTCTTCAGTTGTCCAATCAGGATGAGGTTTGGCGCGGTGCCTGTAAGTGTGGCGGTGCCTCCGATACTGGCTGCGTAAGGAATACAGATCAAGAAGCCTTTCCACACCTTCAGCTGATACTGAGCCTCCGACTGGATTTCCTCAGCGGTCAGCAGGTCAGTCTGCTCCGTCCCATCTGGCCTTTTTAAGTTTTCAATGAACGTGGATTATCAAACATGGCTAAACACATTAACTCTGGCAGGCGCTAAGGATTTAAATCATCAGGATTATAAAGTGATATTAACCAGAAAAAAGGCAACAATTTTAACATTGTTAGAAAACGGTTACACCTCGATGAATACAGTATAATGTTTTTACAATAAGCATGAATATTCAGCCTAGCCTAGCTTAGCAATACAAATGAAACAGATGGAAACAGCTAGCCTGGTTCCTTCCAATGCTATATTCATTTGCTAACCGGAAAGTGAACTACTGAACAGATTATATTTCTAAGCTTGTAGTATCCATAGAAAAAAACACAATGTTAAAAAACAAGCTGGAGTTGTACAGGAGATTTAGAGCCACAGTACTTAGTGGATTTCGCTTGTGTTGATTTTACGATTTTATTTTTTTTCCGCCAACAGTCGCCTGGCTGCGTCTCCAAATTTAACAGCTTAATAGTAGCATGGATGTATCACATTATTCTTGGCAAGTTTATTCTCATAAGATCGCCCGTAAATATACAACACACACAAAAAAAAACACAATTTGAGTTGAATGTTAAAATATCAACAGGTTGGTCCGTTCTTACCCGTCTATTGACAGTATTTGTTTTTCCGAGGGCACTGAGGGCAGCGAATGCAGCTTTACAGAATGACCTAAAAGAAAACGGAAAAAGGCGTTGTCACATGGCCCAACAATTAAATCATAGAAAATAACTTGGTGTAGTATAAACAGCAGACAAATTACGTGCTTAAGCTACTCAATATATGGCTTTTGATGAATCCAGCAACACCAATCACTTACCATTTCAGTATTGACTTACTTTGTACCCAACAACTTTGCGTTTCGGAAAAAACTGTACGAAGTTCACATATTGGATCACATATTAAACAGTCATTCAGACAATGTTAAAATAACACAACAGCCACGTCTACTGTCTGTGTACTGAAGTTTATGGTTTGGACTCTTCTGACAAGCAACGTACACCGGCATATATTTTCTATTTATTTAAATTAGGGGACAGCAGAAAATTCTGTAAACCAGGCACTGAATGTGTCAGCCATTGATTTGTTGACTACCATTTGGAAGTCTTTCTTATGGATAGATTCCCAAGGAACTGGGTTACAGGTTTCCTTGCTCAATCACACCTGTGATGTTCTCCCTCAGCTGATGGCTTGTCTGGGAGGCTGTACAGAGAAGTTAAAGTGTCCCTGCTCAGTCGTTGTGTATCTCAACAGAGTCAACACCATTGGTTGGATTTCTGTGTTTTCTGTTTGAATGAAAATCTCAGTTGTGTGTGTATTTTGAAAATATATCTTTCTTTCAGCCACTTTCGACTCCAGACTTCCATTACCTTTCTGTTGACAATAAATTGGCTCCAATTTATGTTTGTCTATCATTTTGATAGAATCAGCGGGTGGCTGTTTCCTTCCGCCAAGGCCCATATTTTTTTTTTTTTACCATTTTTATAACAACTGCAGTGTTTAGTTAGTTGCCCAACTCACGACCCCTGTCATTCAGTTTTTGTTTCTTGGGGAATGTAACACTTTATATTTAGCAATTTGTGCATCATCATTTCCTTTTTTAGGGGGGCAAAACGGAACTATTTGGAAAATACTTGTATGCAACATGCTACTTCTCAATCCTGACTGACAATTACAACTTATCAGACCCTGCAGTACCATCAGTTTTACGCTACATGGAACCATCATTTACAATATGAATATCATGCTATGCTCAAGAATTTGAGACTATGTTATCATCAGCAAAATGTTTTCTAAGGTAAAAGAAAAACAAGTGAAAAGAAAGATTATTTTCCCAATATCGTCCATACTGTACAAGCAGACCTCTTTTTGTAACCGGTGATGCACACATAGTGGCATTATAAAGGATGTCGACTTTTTAGGCACTTTCCTTTGAAGCTAAAAATAAAAAAGGTACATATGTTAAGATAAATTAGATTAAGGGACGTTATAATTCAAATTCATGTATTTGATGAATTAATGTAATATCACTATTTACTACATTTATTTCTATTTTTGGTCTCCACCAAGGCCAATAACCAATAACCAAGCTAATTGACTTGAAATGCTCAGTATGTTCTTCGCAGGTGGTGTACTGTTTAATTTCAAGTTTTCTTCTTCTTCAGGAGAACAGGTTCCTGTTTCTTAAACGTTAAAGAGTGCGGTGAGTTCGGACAGACAATCAAATGCAGCATTGCTAGAAACTCAAAGTGGGTAAGAATTCTCTGTGCGCCCCCTCACTACTCAAAGACAAACGCTGGTAAGACCAGCATCAAGGCAGTGAAAACAAGTTCATACTCAATGTCAAGTGTCAATGTGACAATGTACCATTTAGGATATCTCCCTCAGTTTCCTCTGGAGACTTGCACTTTTTCTTCAGGGTCTCCAGGTCTCCAAACAAACTCTCCAGGATGGCGTTAGCAATAGGAAGCATCATGGCTGTTGTGGCGGTGTTACTGAGCCACATGGACAGGAAGGCGCTTGTCAGCATCATTCCCATTATGAGCCTGGAAAAATACATGTAATACACAGTTTAACGTCACTGATTAGCCAAAGGAGCATTCTCACCCACAGAATGAAGCTGGCATTGATTTCTTTTAGTTCAACATATCTCGAGTCCAAAACAAATCTTCCTTACTCAAGTACTTTTCCAAAACCCAAGAGCTCGTAGCCTCAAGACCATAAGGATGGAAGGCACAGCTCCTTCAAGGGGGCAACATTTATGTACTTTTTATTTATTTTGTATTTTCTAAAGGCTATAAAATGTTGTAAAGTAGGGGGGACGCTGTAGTTTAAGGGCAAATCTAATGCCTTAAATAATTCTGTTATTAAAAATACAAATGCAAAGTAGGTTTATATTTCTATGTTGTGTTTTTCTCTTCTATGAGGAGCTATAGTTTGGATATTGACTGACATTAAGATCAAGAAGAAGAAAAAAGTAAGACATTTTGACAAATAAATCAGCGGTATTTATTTAGAGATATTTATCTGAGAAAATGTTTGTCGGAACAATTCTGTCTTTGTTTGAGTTCCTTAAAATAAGAAACACATTAAACATCAGCAGACTTTGCTTTGCTTCCTGTTTAGTCTTCTCACCATGCTGGCTTCACTCCCACAATAGTTAGGACCTTCAGGGCTATTCTGCGATGAAGACCCCATTCCTCGATGGACGAGGCCATCACCAGACCGCTGAGGAAGAGAAAGTTGGTTTCGAGGAAGTACTGAGGACAGACTTTCTTGGATGGAAGGATTCCCAGTGTAGGGAAGAGACAGACGGGAAGCATCGCGGTGACGGCCAGAGGAAGGGCCTCTGTGCACCAAAAGATAGCCATCAGCAACACCACATAAAGACATTTTCCCTCCTGAAAGATAAGCAGCATGGGGTCAGTAATCATCAGGCAACTTTGAAAACAATTTTTAAAAAATCCCAGAAAAGAATTTACCACAATTTGCAACATACTGATGCTTCATAGGTTAGGGCGATATTGATTAAGTACTTGGGAACATTCGTGGTACAGCTTACGTTTACAAAAATAAAATCACTGTTCAAGAGGAGAAAAGAAGACAGGTTACGTTATAGCTTATGGAGAAATGGTTATAAAGTTAAAAATGCATATATGACATCAACGTTGAGAGTCTTAAATACCTGTGTGAATTTACACTTGGCCCAATGACATTTTTTGTATTTAACCTTTATTTAACCCGGTAATCATGTTTACATTTGTGTGAATAAGAATCCTGTTTGTTTGCACTGGCTGATTGATTTTAGAGAAACAGGATGCCTTCTACTGCGGCACGATGTGCAAGGGAACAAGATTCAATGACCATGTTCCATTTGAATACCAGCTTTTAAATCATTTACAAGGGAACAATGGCTTTTAATGGGGGAAACTGGGCCGTTAAACGTCACCTCTTGCACCATGTTACTTTGGTTGAGCAGGTACATTATTCTAAGAAAATTGTGAAATGTTGTAAGGCAGAGATTAATGGCGGACAGCCCTGAAAAATGATCGGTATAGACTTCTTAAAAGAGGATAGGTGGGAAAGTGAAAAGAAAAAGAATAAATGTAAGAGTCCAGAAAAAGGTTATTAGGTGGTTTGTAAGAAAAAGGGAATTGTCGGGATAATGAGTTACAAAAAAATCAATAATAATAACACATTTTAACATTATTGCTTTGCCTTAAATGTCAGTCCCCCAGTGAAATAATTTTTAATCTTCCGCAGGGTTTGGATCTGTTTGACTATAACTGCACCGTGACTCTGCACACTGGAGCCACATCACACACAGCGGGGGCCTTTTCTGGCCCCTGCTCCAGAGAAAACCTGAGACCACCACTGCATGTGTGCATAAAATACATAAACAGAATAAAATGCATTAAGAATAGCTAACTTATTAGCAACTGACAGTTGTGAACAATTGCAAAAGATGTACTTCTCAGTGTTGGACATTAGTACTCAAAAGATAACTGATGAGACTGAACTGTTGAAATGGTGATTTGTTTCCTGTTGATCTGGATTTCTTGATATATCTTATCGACTTTTCTTGAAGTTACGCTGATATTGCATTATCAAAGCAGGGACACTTCAAATGTATTTCTTTGTCACACTTGGAACTACTGTGGTAAGTTAACATTTGTCCTAATGCAGATTGCAGAGTATAGATCATAATTAATGAAACAAATACGACGATACAAACAGAAATTCCAAAGATTAACTTAATGCCTGTACAGTTTTCATACACAGAGTACACTGCACAGTCCTGTGTATCCTCAGAATGATGAATATATTTGATTAATTCATTAATGATGCACATTTTTAGAAACAGGCACACCTGAAATGGTATGATGTAAAAAAAAAATCTCTCACCTTTTCTGGCAGAGTAAAAAGTAAAGGCAGGAGCAGGAGAGGAGTGAGCAGGATGACCAGCTGTTTGTGGGCACACCACAGCTTCTTGGACACAGTTGAAACATTCATCCTTAGAGAGAAGTGTTTCTGTGTTCAGAGAAAAGGAGCTCCAGACTGGCTGAGGGGAACACTCAGGGAACACTTTGAAGCCTCTAGCTGAGTTCAGAGAAGATTAACTACGCACACTGATACAGTTTAACTCCTGTAGGGTGGTGTCAAATAGTTAAGAGGGACAGTCTGTCTGTTTGTCTGTCAGGTTTCCCACCAGTAGGCCTCCTCAGCATGAAGGACTGATGCATCTTTAGGCAGAGAAGTGGAAACGACCTCTGCACAGCTCGCGCATGCTAACAGACTGCTTACTGCACGACTTGATTCTCGTTTATTGGGTCACTTGTTTGGTTTGCCAAACTTTTTTCTCTTGGTTTCTCACTGGAGGTAAGAAAGTGCACCTTAACTCTTTAATAGTTCCAACAAGATTGAAGGAATTTGGATTAAGAAAAAAAATCCTGCTGGCCTTTGTTTAAGCACAAGCCTCTTTGGATTACCATTTAAAGCAGGGGTTCCCAAACTTTTCATCCCGCGACCCCCAAAATAACGATGCGAGAGACCGGGGACCCCTTCTGTCCCTGGAAATGGTTAAAGCATAACTTGCACACAGCAGCACGCACTAATGGGCCTATCCAAACACTGACATTAGAACAACACTAAAAAATACAGCAGCCTTAAACTAATTGAACAACATTTTTGTATGTAATTTCACAATAATAGGTAAAATATGTAATTTCAAGTCATTTCCAGTTCGCATTTTTTTTTGGAAGGCAACTCGCGACCCCCCTCCCAGTGTCTTGCGACCCCCACTTTGGGAACCACTGATTTAAAGAGTAAATATGCATTTTTAATAGTCTGCAGAGTGTAACGTATTGAGCTGGAGTAACCTCAAACTCACCCAAAACACAGGAACACAGCCGTCTGCTGAGTTAATCAACACGGCAGGGGATGCCTTTTGATGTGCTCTGGACTATCTCAACATCTTTAGACCTGTTGAACAATCTGTCCTAACCAACATACTCAATTTCTGATATAAAAGAATGTCGGTTCAATCCCTGAATCGGTCTTGAAATCAATCCCCAGCCAGTCACCTTCCTCAACAGCCAACGTATTAAGGACGGAGTCGCCTCCTGGTTGATGGCACTCCAAAGTTTTGACGTGGAAGTGCGTTATGCCCAAAACCGCAAAAAACACCCCTTGGCATGGAGCTTGCAGCATGCCAACGGTGTTCAGAAGACTCCCCAACAGAGTCACTCTCAGCACCTGAGACCCCACCACCTCAACCCTCAAACCACCACTACTTCGACCGTTCACAATTTTCTTTATTAAACTTCACATATAACATTTCAGTACTTTGTCTGTGTAATTTTATGGTTTTAACTGCTTGAGAATTTACCCCAATGATATGAGGCAGATTTACAAATGAATGAATTAACTAAGGTTAGTTAATTTATACTCATTCTTTGAACTGGTGCCCCGAGTTATATTAGAAGTAGAATAATACGCTACAAGAGCTTTTCATTTTTTTTAAATACCAATCTTCTGACAAGAGTTGTGGTAAAACCCGGGAAGAACATTTCACAACATACACATGAAAGATATTTTATGGATGACCAAATAAATCAACCATTTACTAATGGCCACGTGATAAAACTAAAGTGTACAGCCATGCTAGCAGCTCTGTCTGTGAAGCTGCAGGAGCAGTGATGCTGCTTTGAGCTAATATTAGCATGCTAACATATACACAACTGATAATGCTAACACAGCAGAATGTTTATTATTGTCCATTGTCTTAGTTTAGCTTGTAAGCATGTTAACATTGCATTGAACTCTTAAAACAAAGAAAGCACATCCATCATTAGAGCCACACTGCTGTGTTCTTGTTGCACATACAACATCAACAATACAAAGCACAGATAACAACAACAAAAAACAATTTCATAACAATTTATGAAATCTGGATTTGACTTCTTTTCAGTTCAGTTGTTAACAGAAAATGTTGATGCAAAATATTGGATTTTGTTTCTCCAATTAATTCCCCCCCCCCATTTTCTCAACTGTTTAAGTGATTAATTGTGGCTGTGTTCAATCACTATGAACCTGCATTCACTCACCTATACTTTAACGGAAAATACATAAATAAATGATGTAAAACTATAAATCTGAAAAATAAAATACATATGAATTATGCTAGATTTCCCAAATTGACACCAACTGAGTCAGAAAACCAAATTGTATGTCACACTCCCTGCAATAAAGAAACCAACTGTACAGGTTCTGACAACCACAGTGCACTATACACTTAGAATATAATACAATTAAATACAATAGGTGTTTAATGCCATTTGCACAGATTCAGGACAGTACAGGTACATTGGAAATTGTGTGTGTTGGCCCTAGAGTCAGCTTTATAAAATACAAAAAAAGAACAATAAAAGTTTGACAAGAAGCATTAAAACATAAAAGTGTAACTACAAAAATGTTAAATGTTCACACTTTCTAAACATATAAAAGGAGACACTGTATTAGACCTTAAAAACACAAATCTCTAAAAACAAATCCTGATGATTCCGTTAGTTTTTGTGTTGTTCTAGTCTGCGGATGTACCACTAGGTGGCAGTCTGAGCACATTTTTCTCCTCACCCTGAACCTGCTAAACGGCTCTCAGTGAGTCGCCTTTCTGTTTGACTAATTTCACATCGATGTTCTGTAAAGGCAGTGATCCAATTAATGTGTTTCCTGCATCAGTCCTACTTTATAAACCAGGAGGAGAGCTCAGCGGTGGGCCCTCTTCTCTGTGATGATGGCTGCGTTTTTACTGCAGGTGGATTTCTTTACATCCTCAAGCAGCGTGATATCAACACCTCAACATGCTGGGCTGCACTTTCACTTCACATCTGACACTCAAGCATGAAACGAAAGTGTTGAGATGTTTGCTTGATAATGCAGCCACAAAAGATCTGGTGGTAGCTTAGTTAAAATGATCCAATTCCAAATGTATTTATACATAAATACATAAATGTGCTGCAAAATCAAAACATAACAACCATAGAGAACACCACAATCAAACAGCAAGACAAACTTAAGAACAGCAGGACAAATGTCTTGGTATATAAGAAATAATGATGATGTTTATTTATCTGGTGTTGATGTTGGCAGCATTTCTTCAAGCCAGGAAGTAAAGTTGTGACACACTAGAGAAAAACCACAAGCTGAGAGATAGGCTTATGGTTTCTGAACGATGTCATACAAAGTTAGAGGAAATCCAAACTCTTTGAATTTTTCAACAGCACAATAAAAAAATGTGTGAAACTCCCAGTGCAATTTGATGGCATAAATTAGATATTAATTTCGCCTATATCTGCCAATACACTTCAGTCCTTTAATACACGTTTACGTCATACCCTAGCCCTGTGTTAGTAATGTGGTGAGTACTTTGTTCCCCTAAAGAAGGCACACATCCTCTCCAGCCTGTTCAAGTTCTCAGTAATTTTGACAGAAACAAGTTGACCTCTTTAATACAACTGAAAAGGTAGCACAGTGATACGTCATTTTATATAAAGTTACTTAACTTGAAAAAATATAAATGTCTGAAAACAAATTAGGTGCAATAAATAAAAAATAAAAAAAGAAATAAACCGACTTCTTGTAGATGGTTTAGAGGATTTTTAAGACTTTTTTTACTGAAGGCGGGAGAGTCCGCTTCACCACTGTCGCCTCTGTTGCCTCGATGACCTGATAGCAACAGCTCGAATTACCTGAACAAGCACAGAAAGACAAAAAGAGAACTGTTACTTGACATTTGTCTTTTTTTTTAAAGAAAAAAAAAAACTGGAAAGAAGCCCACCCACTGTGCGTGAAACATAAAAAATACCCCTGTAGAGGAAACAGTGCCTCAAAGCACAAGTTATTCTCGCCTACAGTCTGCTGCAAACAAAAAACAAAACTCATCATGACAGAGGATGTGTCACATTCCCACACAGTGACAGCCTAAAACGTATTGGTATTGTGACTTTTATGGTCAAGTTGTCTACGGAAAATGTCAGCAGTGACTTGAGAAATGTGAGATTTTGTTACAGTTTGAGTGACACTTCTGGCAGATGCCGACCGACCCTTAATCACGTTTATAGTCTCAGTTATTTAGCTCATCAAAAAGCAGTAGCAAAGCCCCTCCTCAAACTGACAAACAAGCCTTTATCTGTTGTGTTTTTAAAGCACAGCACTGATTCACACCAGCACCTCCCAGTCGCATCTCTTAACATATCTAATCTTTTAACTCAGTGCTTCTCAACTGGTCGAGCCCCAGGAACCACCAACACCTCCTTAAACAGAAATTTGGACCCAAATTCTGAAACTCTTCAGAGATTTTCAACCACTCATGAAAAATTGATAGAATAAAACAAATATTTGGTAACACTAATAAATGCATAATAAAGTATTTATTAATCTTTATAAGTAGTGTTCCCACTTTAGATCCAGTACCTGCAGAGGAGCTTTATTAGCGCTTAATAAGTGCATAATAAAGTATTTATTAATCTTTATAAGGATTTATATTTCCTTATAAAGTCTTATAAATGTTAATAAACATATTATTAATGTTTATGGCGGTATATAAACTGTTAATAAGTTTCTGATAAGAGCCTTTAAGCGTTTTATAAGACATAATAATTTACACTATTAACACTTATATAGTCTTATTTGTGTTAATAAGACTCTAATAAGGTCTTATAACGTCTTATAAGTGACTTCTTACCTATTAATTACAGCTTATTACAAGCACCTTCATATAAAGTGTTACCAAATATGGTAAAAAAGCGTATTTTAGACTTTTTTGCAACATTATTTTTGTTTCCAGGCTCACATTGACGACCCACTGGAAATGGCTGTGCGACCCACTTTTGGGTCGCGACCCACCAGTTGAGAACCACTGGTTTAACTCATTCCTCCTATTTATTCCACATTTCTATTTAATTGTTGTTAATAATTCATCCACAACTCTCGTCTTTCACAAATAAATCAGGTCAACCATGTTTGCCTCCTACCGATATGCTGATGACAGATAGAATGATTTTGGCGAGTCCCATGGCCATGAAGCCTGTAATGCTCCACATGGCGGGCAGGTCCTTCTCATGTTCATGGCTGACCCACAGAGTAGAATTCAATGCATTTGTTGATGTTGTCAGTTCAGCCTGCGTCGCACACTCTGTATGTAGAGAGAATAAAAGAAGGACAAATAGAAGAAACTTGTGTCAGCACAGACTGGTGTAAATCTCACACATTTTCTACGCTGACATCAATATTATACCACAAAATATAATTTTATCAAGCAGTGGCAGACATGATTGACTGGAAGACATTTATTTTGGATTAAAAGTAGAACATGTATGCCTGAAAATATGTTGGCTGTACATAGTTTGTTTGAGGTGATAGGTAAACTTATTATTTCATGCCGTGTGTTGAAATAATGTTACTGCTTTTTGGCTATTTACAACTTCTCACAAACTTCCATCTTTGAATCAGTGACATTTACGACATACAGTACTTTCACTTTTTACAACTCACATACTTTATCCAGCTGATCTGAAGCTGTCAATTGTAAAAAGAAATAAGCTGTTTCACCTGCAGCTGCCATAAATATCCATCGTGACAACATTAGAAGTACAACATACAAAGATCAGATATGTGGGGAGCTCAGATCAGATGCTCTCGATTAGTTTAGTATTCTGCAAAATGTGGAGGAAATTAAGTTCAAAGCTTACCCTCAACAGTCAGGTGGACCTTGGGATACTTATTTGTACTCCCCAGACCAGCACTGATGTCACACTCGTAGATTCCTGAATCTTCAGGCGTCACACTGCTGAGAAATAAACCGTAATTCTCTCCAAACATGGCCGGACGAGTGAAGTTGTAGATCTCTGGTTTCTCCTGACCTTTATCTATCCTGATAATGCCGTGGGACTGCTGGTCGATCTGTTCAAAAGGGAGAAGCACAAAAAACATTTGATCAATCTCTGATTGACCGAATGAAACATGAAGAGCAAATGAACCTTCGTTGTGTTGATTCCTTCTTTTAGAATCATTTAAACCTGAAAGCCTGAAAGCCTGAAATGTGACACTGACCTTGTACCAGGCCACTGAGAGGAACTCCATGCTGTCCAAGTCTGAACACTTCAGTGTCACATCTTCTTTGCACTTTGCATGAATCTCCGTCTGACTCTGAGTTGTGAAATGCACCAACAGCACCTGAGATCATTACAGCCGTGTTCAAAGATTTATCATTCGAGGAAACAGCAGCAATGCACCGAACTGCTTTTCTATGTTTTGTAGTGATGCTAGAGTGTGGTTTAACTCACCTTTATCAACAGCACCTTATAAGACATCCTTCCCACTCTTGTGTTTTCTGAATCTGATAATGTTTCTGTTTCTTTTTTCTTCACTTCTTTTCCTCGACACAGTCAAAGTTTCCTTTGAAGGGGCTCATGTGCAGCTGAGGGGAAGGGATACAATGATTTTCAGCCACCATGTGGCTGTGGATAGCAGTGCACCATAACTGTGTAAATACTGTAAAGCTTTTTTTAATAATACTTCAAAAACAGCATCTTTACTCTCTGTTTTCAGTGCACATTCGACTAAAGAGTGCAGTTACACATGAGCTTTAGTTCAGATAACTTCTCAAACAGGGTGTAGTTTTTTTTATTTAGATCAAAAACAAAGTCTATTTACTGTACTTATTGTTACGCAACCGATCATCAAGTCAGATCAATTGTCCAACAAATATCAACTAAATGTTTTGCAATAAAAGTGATTTAAAAAATTTAACTGTAGTTACTGTATGTATATTTGAATAAATTCTGTAGATTTATTGTTTGAATGGAAACCTGTTCAACCTAATTCTGTGCAACAAGCTCAATAATAGCTTTGTCCTGTAAAGTGGATTTTACCTGCATGTAAGAGACAAACAGGCTGACATACTGGAGGATCACATCAAACACACACACGCATGCACGCACGCACGCATGCACGCACGCACGCACGCACGCACGCCCACACGCACGCACGCACACACACACACACACACACACTCGAATATGAGACAAGCTCATCCTGTTGTTTTCATCTCAGGGAAATCCCTATTGTCTCCCTTCAACGTATTATTTGTATGTGTCGCTCTTGTTGACAAAGGAGGTTGATATATGTTATTAATAGCAGAGCTGCTTTATGGAAAGGAAAGAGTGAGGCCTTTGGATTCCCCCATCTGCATTAAACAATGCCTCATTCAGTAGCAGCTGGCACGGCCAACACAGGGGCGCAGCAATGTACTGATGTTACCACAGAACAAAACAAAACACGAGTGGAGATGAGGATTTTTTTCTTTTGGCCTCTTCCGATTGGACGCCGGGAAACTGCAGCTGTGAGCAGTTTTATGACAGGGGGTAAAATCTCAAATACAAGCAATGATACTCCACATTTTTGGAATATCTCTCACTTGTTTGTCACTGCAGATGTTCTGATTCAGAATTTATTAAACCTCTGAGTCAAACCCATGGGGGTTTCACATTAAAACAAACTATGTGTTACAAGGAAATAGTACAGATCTAGAGAAAAAGGTCTATGACAAAAACTGCTGAAGCATGTCATCAAAGTTGTGATTCTCTGAAGGGTTTGAAAGGTGGTGTAAATGTGAGTGAGTGCACGTGTTGTATGTGCATGTATGTGTTTGATTCTGGCTCTATGTAAGGGTGTTGCACGCCACAATAAATCCCAGAGGTTGTTAGCACGCCCAGCTGCTAGCGCAGGTCTCCATGTTTCTGTCAGCGAGGTTGTTCGCTGCACACTCTCTCGCCTCTGATTGAGGAAATCCTCTGACTGTTTGCTCTGTTTGCTGCAATGAAACGTCCCAATGGTTCCGCCGTCCCTCCCACAGGTCCTGTACGCCGAGACTTTCCCATGAAGGCTGTGCATGTTTACAGGGGTGTGACAGATATATGGCTCTTTGATGGGCCGTAACAGTACCAATGTTTCAGTGCTGGACAGGCTCAGAGATGATGTTGTTGTCAGGAGGAAAATCCAGTAATGAAGGTCAATTTTAAGAAAGTGTGTAGTTTAAAGTAAAGCCTGAACAAAATGTAACCTTCTTATTTAAATTCAGTTCATATAACTAATCTCAATAGTCTCACAAGAAACTTCTTTTTGCAGAAAGGAACTGATTCTACAATTCTATTATTCATTTAGCAGAGACTATCATCCAAAGCGACGTAAATCACAGAGCACAGAAGCTTTAAAACAAAATACATAAGCGGAGTAAAACACGATGTACTTGACACTCGATAAAGAATTCATTTAACCAACCAAAAAATAAAAGAATGAATTGGAGGAGATAAAGAAAAAAACTAACGATAATGGCTTATAACATTTAGGAGATAAAGATCACCTCAATACACAGTAGAGCTCTGTTTCTCTGGCCAAGGACGAGGATCTTTTTTTTATCCTGCTGTCAACTTTATCTTTTTTTATCCTGCTGTCTACCTATTTTGTAATCCCCCTGTCAACTTCATATTTGTCTCATTAACTTCAATTCACATTTCCCTTCATGAAATAGTGAGGAGTCATGAGGTAGTGTCAGTGAGTCAAATTGCCAGGGAAATCTGTTAAAATTGCATTTTTTTATTAAAATATCGATGTTTGGCATCAGTGTTTAGGTAATTCTATCATATTGTCAAGTCAGGACAACGTTCATATCCATATTTTAGTCACAGCACAAGTATTGTGTTTAAAGCTTGTTCAAGTAGACATTTCATATTCACTTAAAGTATTGTGAAATATATCTCTCTTTTTGATCATGATTCAACATTTGTTCTGTTCCCCTGGATTTGATTGGAGCAGGCTGAAATGATTTCCATGTCTGAGAGCTTTTTGAGGCTGCATCTCACTGACTGTTCAACTGTTTATTTAAAGGAGGAAAAACTCCTTTTTGTGTGTATTGCTGGATTCTAACCTCTGCCTCTGGGTTTTGGCGGTCTGCTGACGGTTGATTGTCCGAGCCTGAGGCAGAACAGAGCTGCTTTACCTCGGTGTGTATTGTTCCCTAATTTCTTCTCTGGGATTTCCTCCTGCCAGCTCCCCTCTGACGCCCACCCATCCTATTTACTGCACAGCCCTCCATCATCCTCCCTCTGTCTGAAAGCGTTGCCAAACTCTCTGGCACATGAGAACAATTGTTCTTGTATGTTTTAGGAGACACAACCTGCTTTTTCAGACAGGCTTTTCTTCCCTACAGAAGCTAAGCTGACGGCCGGGCAGACAGACTTCCTCCTCCTTCTGTAGAAAAGTGGTCATGTTCAGTAAAATCAGAAGCGAGGTAGCTGAGTCCTGAGCCCCAAAGTGACTCAGAGACATTAATATCTTTGACATGCAGGTGGAGCAGGAGGCCGTCTCCCCAGCCAGAGAGCGTTTGAAACATGCTGAAACAGACTGTGAGTGCAAGAGCGATTAAAATACGACCATGTGCAGGTTTGTTTCTAACAAGAGCACTCTGGCAGGACTACAAACTGCTGAAGGTAAGCACCCATCTGGGAGTCAGGACTGCGCTCCCAGATGAGGCTGAAAAAAAAAAACGCTTTACATCCTTCCTTTTTCTGGATCATCTATTTCAGGGTTTCTTCCCTCTCTGTTTTTTTTGGAGGGGAGGTAAGGACAGGAACAAGTTTGAGCAGTAAGAGCAGTGATTTGTGTTTAATCTGGAAAGAGGTCTTCATGTGGACATTTCTCCTCAGAAACTAGATTCATGAAATGCTTTCTAAATGTTATAGCTCTTCTTTTGTTGTTTTTGCAGCTCAATGTCCAAAATATCCAGACTGAGATAAAGGAAGCGAGAACACTAAACTGCAATCTGTGATGGACAATAAAATGTAGTTTTAAGGTTCAGTAAAGTGGATTTTATCTGCTTGTAAGAGACAAACAGTCTTAAATACTGGAGGGTCACATCAATCACGCACACACACATTATTGTTTTTTACTTGTAATTTAACTTTATTGATCAGTTGAATTTAACCACTACTGTGCAACCACCTGGTATCCAAACTCAGGACACATTTATTTGAAAATTATGAAATATGTTGCCGCCTGTTCTTTGGTTTATCATCAGCATCAAATCCTGCACACTAGAAGAATAAATGTTTGGTGCTATATTGAACAAATTAGCATCAAGATAGTGTCATCTCACTACTGGGTTCCCCTGTATTAATGGGTATAAAACCACCAAAAATGTAGACATAGTTTATCCTAAAATTTGAAACGCACATCATATTGAACTTGTCGAACTAATTATTTTACAGAATCAGTTTAACCTAAAGGACCAAAACAAAACAAATCGCTCTTCTTTTTCGTAATGTTAAGAGTTTCTTCTTGCTAATTTACAAAAAGTTAAAAGAACCAGTAAAGACTTCATTCTACAAAACTGTAACAAAATGTAAAGAACATAAAGAAAAGAGACACGACGAGTGATTTGTTCATGTTTTCTGTTTTTCCACCCAACAAATCAAAAAGCACAGACAGGTCATTTTCCATCTCTGGTTAGAAAGAAGAGAGTCTGCACAGATGTCTAGCTTCACTTGCAGAACATGTCTTTTGGGATAAAGATATTCAAGGATCCGAGGAAGAAGAAAAACTCACCAAAGTAAAGCAGTAAAGCTGTGCAGTGGTCCCCAGGTGGATCTTCTCCTGTCAGACATGTTAAACACATCCACACTGACCTTATTTGCTTCCTTTGCTTTCTCTTCTGATGGTCCTTGCCATCAATTTGTAACCTGTCATCTTGAAGAGGTGGGGGGGGGTCTTCTTCTGAATTTGTTGAAAACGCAGTCTTTGGTCGGCTTGCTCTGAAAAGTACCACCAGAGATTCTTACATCTGGGTCCCAGCGCCGGATGATGTCAAGACTGGCGCTGACCCAAAGCTCGTCGCACTGAGAGTTCCTCAGAGAGGTCGGCTGCACGTTGTTTTCCCTTCCTGTGCCTCCGTGACATCTTCCTGCCGGGGGGAGCCTCGGGGAGCCATTTGAGGAGGCCGAGGCCCCGAGCACCGAGGACTTAGCGCAGCAAATTCCAATTATCCTGACAGGAGCAGGTGGGGGAGGGAGGGAGGGAGGTGAGAGGAGATCAGACCCCCTAGCAAGCACCTTTAACTGCCTGAAAATTCACTTTCCATGAACCGCTATGTGCCACCTGGGAGCCTCCCCCGGTCTGATTTGAGGGCAAAGTTTTAAGTCTGATTCAGAGTGATGTCAGACAGGAACTCAGGCTGAGCTGTCTGTGTGTCAGAGCTTCAGCCCGCCTGTTAGACCGATCACGGCAGTGACAGTAGATACAAGTCAAAAAATACACTGGAGTGACTTTTACTTACCAAGATGATTTCTCAGTACGGGTCAGAGGGTTTCAAGTGAAAGTTGTCTGATTCTCTTCTTGCTTTAGTGACTAAAATAAATATAATCATACCCAATATAAAAATAACCAAACTTTGGATGACGATTGTAAGAAACAATAAAGAGCGTTAAACATTGAGTGAATCCTTGACATCTACTAACACAATCTTATTTACCTGGAATGTTTCAAACTAGAGTTGTTCCAATACAGACACCAGTGTTGGAAATGCCTTGGCTCCATAATTATCAGACCCCATAATGACTTGCTTATTCTTGTCCAAAACAGAAGCATAAATAGACAAAATACAAGTCATGGCTGCCACTTAAAGTACGGCTCTACAGCAGAGAAATTGTTATCATTGCTGCTGGAGGCTTCTTTATGTCGTCTTCTGGCAGCAGGATGCTTATGAGCAGTTTAAAGGTTTTAATAAAACCAACCTCGACTACATCTGACCGTGGCAGTGCAGCAGCAGGAGACTCTAAACCCCCTTCTTCTTTACTAAAGATAGTCTTGACACTCCACTCTTACTGTCAGCAATCTGTGTTTTCCCATCACACATTTTAAGGCGGCATTTCATTCATAGATAAAGCGAAGATAAAAAACTAAAACGAAACAACAGAAAACTGTTTTTTTGTAAAAAAAATAAAATAAATTTCAAAAATTCATTATTTCTTGATCGCTCTTCGATGGGCACACAGTGTCAGGAGGGGCTGTTAAACATCAGCTTAGCTTGTTTCTAATGTAGGTGCTCAGCTTGATTTGATGGATTCCTCACTTAAAATCTGAGCCAGGCCATGCAACATTTGAGATACTATTATGACCATAAGGGGTTAGTATAATAATATCCCACTTGTATCAGAGGGGAACTCTGTAAAGGCTCAAGGTACCATAATGGGTATCAGGAAGTGAAAAAGTATACCAGAACATGTGTTCATAAAACTAAAGAGGAAAATGTACAATCAGGATCAACAGCAGCATTGAATTGGTATCATTCACCATCATTACACATCCACAGAGCTTCACTTCAGTGTTCCACCGTGACCTCTGAGCTCTCACCCCATCTCTCCCCGTCCATCGGGCCCACAGCAGTGATTTATCCCTCTGACATACCAACAGCTGTGTTGGGGGCTCCGAGCAGAGTGTGGGCTACTATTTGCCGTGACTAATCGATAACAGACTTCAAAAAACACCGATCGTGTGAGCTGGAAAAAAAAAAAAATACACGAGTCATTGACACCAGAAACTCCAAAACCTCTGCTGTAGCTTCACAGACAACATCTAGGCCGCATAACATGAAACAATGGAAGCATGTTTGAGTGAGAAAAACATCTTTCCTGAAAGAAATTAAGGTTGTTTCATGCCAAGTTGGTGGTTAAGACAAAAAGTGTTTCGCAATTATACAAATATAAAGTGTTAATCAAGCATTTAGGTGCCATATTACTTTTTTACAAATGCAAAAAAAAAAAAATCAGAAAAAAGTTGAGGACAGCTATTTATTAACTGCTGTAAATCTTCTGGTTATATTATAAAAGACCTTCTCCCAAAAAATCTACCCTATTTTTTGTACCAGAAATAAATATCTCATCATTTTGTTTGCCACCTTTTTCATGTCACATGTTTCTTGTTTTCACAGATCAAAATTTTATAAAAATTCTGGAAAAAAAATGAAATGCTCTCTTTTATTTGATAAAATAAACTTTATTTAAAACTTCTGAAAGACTAAAAAAGGACAAAAAGGCATAAGTTTCAAACAAATGCACTGCATCATTGAAAGGCTTATGCTTACATTTCTCAGTCAAGTATAAATATTCTCTTCTTCGGTTTCATCATTTGATCCAGCATGTCAAAGTGTGTGTGATTGCCTGCTTTGACTCTTCCCTGAGAAAGTCTTTGAGGAATTTCAGGTTGTAATCATCCACTGCTCTTCAGTCAGCGTCTCATTCTCAGTGGACCCAGCCCTCGCATCTTTAAACAGTCTTTGGCATCCTTTATCTGAAAAAGAAAATTAAAAAAAGAATAATAATCATTTGCATTCCAATAGGGTCCTCGCGCCCTGTGTATGCTTGGGCCCTAAATAATGTCATATGACACTCCAAATGCAACAAAGAAATATATAAATATAGCAAACAATCTGTTTGAATGTGTGAAGAATTTACAGCGAGCTCCGAGGTACGTGCAGTGCGCAAAGGCGCCTCTTACGCACAGACTCTGAGGCAAAGAAAGAGTAAAAGAAAAGTGGAAACGACTTAAAGTTAAACCAAATCTGCGATAGAGACAATTTTATCTTTAAAATGTCAATGTCGATAAAACTTCTCGAGGCACAGAGCTTATGCACATGTGAAATGTTATCCTGCATCTGTATTCAGCACAATTTGCGCATCATTAGATTCAGTCAGTAGATTCGATTATACAGTAAAGCAGCGTTTACCCCTTTCCTCTGGTTGCTCAAACAGAAGGTGCAGATGGTTCGCGGCTGCTGCGCCCCGCTCTCTCCTTGCGCATGAACCACGTCGAGACAGGGCTGTCCATCCGCGCCGCCGTCCCCGAGAAGAAGCACGTTTGCCAGATGGGAAATATAGCTGGACGCCAGGCGAAGAGTTTCGATTTTTGAGAGTTTTCTGTCCACCGGCTCGGTGGGAATGAGAGTCCGGAGGGCTGTGAAAGCGGAGTTGACACTCTGGGTCCTTCCCCTCTCCCGGGCGTTAGCTGCGCTCCTCTGCTTCACCACCACAGTGGAGCCTCCTTCCAGCTTGCGCGAAATCCTGCGTCGTTTCTCAGAGGATCCACAGTAACTTTGCTCCGAGCTGCCATCGCTCTCGCTGCGATTTTCGTCATCCTCGGACGTGATGGTGAAGTCTGAGTAGATCAACTGTGTCGCCACGGGCCGCAGCATGGCGAAAGCCATCATTAAAGGCTTCAAGCGCAAACTCCAAATCCGTAGTTAGGAGATCGGGGACGCTCTGCAGGGACTATCCCCACATCTCTTTGCGGTACAAAGAGTGCATGTAACAATTTAGGAAAGAAACACGTTTGTAACAAAGCATACAGACTCCTCATGTATGCAGCGGCCTGTTTGAAGGATGGACCCTGACTACCTGCTCAGCTGGCTCTTATAGCCGGATGGGAGGAGCTGCCAGCAGCACTTACTGTTACAGTAAACACAAACTATAACTCACTATAACTATGCCACATTGTTAACAAAATAAATGCACAGTTGACTATTAGAATTTAAAAGACAAAAGGGATAGTGATACATTCATGACCCGAACCCACGTTAATAGGTTCTGGACTTCATTTTTTAAGAATAAACATTACAGACTGTAGCATTAAAAAAAACACTTGACACACGGTCAAATGATCTGGATATTAGATACAATCAATACAATAAAACAAGTAAATGCATTTATTTATTTCATTTTTATTTGTATTGGGAAAAGTAAACTGATGCCATCCACAACAGCATTTACTGTAGAGCTGAAGCTAGTTTGAAAATTGTAATAATATTTGCAAACCAGTTTTTAGAGTTTGCAGAATTTAAAGCCGCATTGCATGAACATATTCAGACCTTGAAAGAACTTCCACCACAGCCTGAATCTACAGCAGATACATCTAGAAAAATAAATACTTATTTTGGGCCAGGAGCTGGATTATAGAGCTGCAAAACTGAAAAGTCATTAAAATCTTTAAATGTCATTTAGGGACTAATGTTTGCCTTGTGCCTATTTAAAAGCTTTACTGTCTTGTGTTAGCCTGACATGTTTATGGTGCTGCCACCCGCTGAGATTTGTTTTTGTTGGCTGATAAACCACAGTGATGCAGTCAGGCCCAAAATGAACTCAGTCCTGCATCAAACTAAACTTAATGGTGCAGGTGTTTAGAGAACACGAGCACTGGATCTGTATGTAAATCATGTTTGTCTTGCCGACTCTTAAATTTCCATTGTATATGGTCAAGTCAAATGCAAGGAGTTTTTTAATTTGAATATATTTTCCCAGGAAGCATGACTTATTGTTTGACCTTGAGTCACTATTAAACAGCAACATGAAGACTTGGGATGAGTTAGTAAAAACCTCACCACCAACAGCATGAGTTAAAATACTCATGCTGTTAAGTCCACATATTAAAAGCTGCTGTTGGCCTACAATGCCAAAAGGAAAGGGAAATGTGAGTAAATAAACACTGAGCAGAGGATCCTGGAAGGGTGACGTTTTATTTGCTTGCTGCCCCGAGTTTAAAAAAACAAAGCAGTGGCAAATGGATGATTTAAGTCACATCAGAGGACATACGTCTCCTTCAGCCACAGACTGCAGCACATGCAACCAGTTAAGTTTGTCTCAGCTGCGAAAACAGTCGGACATCAGACACCCAAACTGTTAGACTGTTTTTGCGCTGAGGTCTCACAGAGGACACAAAGCTGTACCAGGAAACTGCAGAGGCTGTTTGAATATTTTCAATTAGCATAAATAAGGTAGTGTCTCCAGGGATTTCACTTCATGCAAATTAATTAAAAGAATCATGATTCATTGAAGATACACAAACTGATACAGACTTGTGATATCTGATAATTCCTCAATCACAAATTAAAGGTTAACAAATCCCCCCCCCCCCAAAGGATCAGCAAATAAATTAAGTTACAAGTCTCAGACACTCTGCTGCTGTTGGGTTAATTACATTTTTCAGGAACCCTGAAGCATCGATTTTGTGTCTTTGTGGGGCGTGAAAACCAGCCCGCCAAATGCATGCTTAAATGTCAATTCAACAAGATGCATTTGAAGCTGACTTGGAGCAACTCTCTTAACTTCATGGAACTGTGAAAGGCTCTTTTGCTACGTCCAGAAGAAGGATATGTTTTTATCCATACTGATGAGGTCACAGCATGTTGTGCTTGCCTCCCACTGAGTCCTCTGTTGTTGTTCTTCAGAGATCGCCAAGAACAGCAGCTCTGTCTGAACCACAGATCAGAAGAGACGGAGTCCTCTGTCTGAACTGTATGTTTTTTTAATTCTATTGATGACAACGTCAGGTTGTCCGTCCAACTCTTCACATTGTTGATGGAGATATTCATGTTCCTCAGAGGATAAACTCTGGATACACAACTATCACATTGATTGCCATTGAATTGGAACAGATAGTCATGGTCTCCAGAGGACTAACTTTTCTAACTTCAGTGTTCCTCATTTTGCTCTAGTTCCAGCAGTAAGTCATTCCTGTAATTTATCAGGTGAAACATCCTGACATCTTTTTTCTTGGATTGTCCAAGAAATTGGTTCATTCATTCATGGTACCCAGAGGATGAATCCTAATGACCTTGGATTAAGATTTTTTTTTTTTTTTTTAAAGATTTTTTTGGGGGGGCTGGGGAGGGAGCTTTTTCTGCTTTTATTAGAGCGGCAGGAGAGTGGATAGAGTCAGGAATCAGGGAGAGAGAGGGAAATGACATGCAAAAAAGGAGCAAAAAAGAAGCAAAGGTCACCTGCTTTAAGGACATAGGACCTTTGTACATGTGGTGCACAGACCGACCACGAGGCCAACAGTGACCCTTGGCTTAAGCTCTTGTGTTGGAAAAGGTTTTTTAGTAAGGAAATTCAGTATAAATGTTTGTATCCCCCACAGGATTTATTGTTTTAACTTTGGAAATCCCTTAACTTTTCATAGCGCAGAGTGCAAAATTATTTATATATTTCTTCAAAAATCAAATGAAAAAAGAAAAAACAAGTGTCTGTGGCAGTCACAGGCCCTAAATAAGTCTGCTCATTATTGTATTCGGATTAAACTAAATGACTCAATGGTTTCCCTGACTGTCGATGTACCTTACTGTACACATATAGAGACTTGGAGAAGATTCTTCCTCGAGTTAAAGCTATCAGCTAGTTGTACAAGAGTGGCAGATAAACATTGTTTTACAGTTTTAACATGACATTAGCCTTCAATAAGGTAAGCCCGAACATACCTGTGTGTTGCATGGAGCAGCTTTTGCATTTTTTCAACCAAATACTTTTGAAATTGAGTTTACTCTTCTTGGTTTTTTTCCATAATTGCCTACCTGAGCTTAAATTCACCATTTTTAGCACACACTATTTTCAAGCATCTTGTTTTTTCTTAAATTTGCATTTACGCCTAAGGCCAATCAAGTTGAGCATGTTTAATGTTAATGGGCTGCTTATATTCTGCCCCTTATCCACCTTTCATCATCAGGGCCACTGTTTCCCTCACAAATGGGTGTGGTACGGTGGTCTTTGTTGAGTGGTTAAAATGGAAAATACATGAAGAAATGAAGCAGCAGCAACTTTCCACTGTTGCTTGGGACAAACTTGTAAACCTATGATTCATACTGTAGCCAAGAGAATGCCTGTTCCTTGCTCTGGTGATTTTCTAGATTTTTCTTGCAGTCAAGCAATCCCATTAAAAGCTGAAAACCAACAATGTTTTGATCCTGCTAACAAGTACCGCCTGTGTAGCCAAAGCCGGATATAGTTTAATTCCTCCGTGCGATAGAGCTCCATTGTTTTCCAACAACTATTAAAAAGACATCAATGAGCCACACCGTTACACTGAGAGATACGTTTCTTCATTACAGTGAACAAAGTACAAGCAGTTTATTTTGAGCTCATCCCAGATTCACAATCCTGCTGCTGAACACTCACAGAAGCGTTAAACGTTTGGCTGAAACCCCCAACGAATACACTTTTAAGTCCTGTTCAAGTATCATTTGCAGGAGCTAACCAAGCCGAGGTATTATAGGAAATTGAACAGTCAAAACCAGCCTCTTTTAAAACTGAAATGACTAAATCTGAATGGTGTTTTAAAGATTTAGGTCTCCAGTTGGAAAAAAAAAAAGGGCTCTGGGCTAAAAGCAACAGACAGTTGGCTTTGGTCTTTTCATGGGAATAGGGAGATACGTTTCCTGTTCTGTGTTTCTGGCCATGCTTAGGATACAGATAAAACAGGGCAACGGTTGTGTTCAGGTAAAGCTGGGGAGAAACATTAACAAATAACTATGCGACCACATGTTTATTTTCCTCATCCTTGCCTGCCAATAAAAGTAAGAAAAGCAGATCATTGTTACTGGAGAAGACCCGGGTCAACTGTGCCATTGTAGTCCAATGCAGGATCAATATTGATATGGTAGGCTGTAAACGTTACAAACCGAGAACACAATGAAAAATAATGCCAAGAAGGGATAGCCTGTTATTTCACGCACCCCATGTACAGAGGCTATAGTCCAAAGCCGTGCAAGCCCTTCCAGAGAGGGGGCGTGGTCAGACACAGCTCATTTACATTTAAAGCTACAGACACAGAAACAGCCTGTTCTGAGCAGAACTGAAATAGGTTAATAGGTTCAGTATACAAGAAACAGGTGACTTTGGTAAGAAAGTTCCAGACATGTTTCGGGGAGCTCTTAGACTTATTTAAACTGAAAAGGAGTATAATATGTAACCTTTAATAAAATGGCTTCAACCTTAAAAACATGTTCCTTTAAACATGCTTCAGCAAGAGTTTAGCCAGCGTCTATTACTGATGACTGAAGGTCTTGATGTCTAATGAACAAATCTTGAATCCAGTTAAATAATGAAGACTGTGACAAGACTTGAAAGATTAAGAAAGTAGGCAGTTGGAAATGTTCAATTTTTTTCGGACAGTCACCTTGCATATTACATGATAACAATGAGATTAACGTATGCTTATACTTAAACTTGGTGCAGCAGTATTCTGAATAGAAAAAAAAAAAACCAAATCTTTGAGATGAAGTGTAAAATCCAACATGTCTGACAAAATTGTGGGTGGACTTCAGCCTGACAGCCTTGATCTGCTAATTAAATGTTTCCCCAGATCCGAATAGAAACATGGGGACACACAGTTGTAGCTTCATTCACTGATTCTAACCTCTTGAATGTGAATATTGTCTGGATTCTTTACTCCTTCCTTGCAGTTAGAGGAATATTTTGGGGGTATAGAAAAACAAGAAATTCGGAGGACGTAGTTTTGGGCATTTTTCAAAACAATAATCATCATTTTTGATCATTTAATCGACTAAATCAATAGAAAAATATTTGACGGCTTGACATAAATTGCAGCTTTACAAACAGTCCCTGTTTACTAGTTGCATACAAAATGTCGGTGTATTAGTATTACACACCGCTTTTGCATGTGGGCTTTGATTTTTCTACCTTTTCAGCAGGAACAGCAGGGGCTTTGGGCTTCTCTTACACCTACAGGTTAAGTCAGCAACAAACTTCATGAAGAATACGCTGATTTGAAGCACATCATATGTTTGATCAAAGTCAACGCCCCTCCATTATTTAACTATTACTGCCATAGAGGAAACTTATCAAGTGTTTACTCTGATTGGCATGGTGGATCAAGAAAATGATCCACATTTCAAGTTTGAAGCCTGCGCGAAATATAGCACATGTAAACTTCCACAAAGCAAAAGAGTGATGGAGGTTCACACACTGTGTGTCACAGAGCACACAGTGGTGAGGTCAGAGGGTGGATACGGGGTTGCAAATCTGGCACAAATTACACGCCTGCAGCAACCGGCAGTGTGAGGGAATTCCGGATAGGAAGCTGTGAGAAGTCATCAACCAAACTCTTTCAAGAGGATTTGGTTGTAATGCCTCCTCCACTGGAACAAATGGGTGAGCTGCCTCAACAGAAATACAATTTTAAAGCGGTATTTTACATGTGGAGGGAGAGCCTGAAAGATTTAAGGTAGTTAGACTGCATATGTCCACACGATCACTTCATAGACGACAGAAGTGAGAAGGCGACCGAGGAAAAGTCTCTTTCTTTTAATCAACTTAAGCAATTATACACTACAATAGATATTTGACTTCATAGAAAATAAACACTTCCTCTTCATAGGATCAAGAGCTTTCATAAGACAGAGTGATCCTCTCTGTATCATTATATACATAAATGTATTTTTGACTGAATAGATTACAGGGTGACTGCTGGTTATGTGATGTAGACTTGGTCATAACTGTCTCAGATTGATAAAATGCATTTGACACAACTGAATCACTGCTTTAAAATCATTTGCACTAAATGTAAGCCTTTCTTCTTAAATCTAGTAATGGTTAAAAATGTTTCTACTTACATCTTGTCTATAACTAAACATAAACACAGCCACCAGAGGGCCCTCAAGACACCATGAACAACTTTAAGGCCCTGTTAGATCATCTTAACCTTGAACAAACATACTCCAATTTTAAAATCACTCAACTTTGTCTGATATTTTTCCATCTTGGTAACAGAAATAAAAAGTCACTAGATTAAGATTTAGCACTGTCAGTTCTGCTGTACTCTGTGCTCTTCTAATAAACCTGTAAATTAAAACTTCTGTTCATACTGTTCATGCCTGACAAATATATATTATATATATCTGTACAGGTCTGTTATTTATCTTATGATGACCACTGGACACATTCATATGTAACTCTTAGTGTTTATCCCGTATAATACCTCTAAACATATGAAAAATGTTCTGCTTTAAACAATGTATTTATACCTTTATGAAGTAGATAGGACAGACAGTGGACAGAGTATGAAATAGGAGAGAGAGTTGGGAAATGACATGCAGGAAAGGACTTCAGAAATGTATTTATTTTAATGTCTTTTTTTTTTTCCCTTTCTTCTTGCATTATATTTTATATTTAATGTCATCTTTCTGCTTATGTATACTTATTATTGTTATGTCCTGAACGTTCTTATGTACTGCTTTAAAAAAGGTATAAAGCACTTTGAACTGCTTTATGTATTAATGGTGCTAACTATATGTCAATTATATTATAATTAAACTGTTGCCTTGACTTGCTTTTTGCACTTTAGGTGAAATGCTTCACTGCATTTTAATTTCTCATTACTTTTTTTCCTCTACGAAATAACAGTGAAGCGAAATTGAATTCAGTCAATTTTCAGGGTTTTTTTTGTTGATGATGTAATAGGATATAAATTATTCTGATCAGAGAAACTCTAACACATCAAAAAGGCATCACCAAACTTTAAGAGCTGAAAGAATTAAGAAGTGAAAAAACTGATTTTAAGTCATGACTTAGCAATACAGCAGTAAAGGGGGGTGGGGGGAGTATTTGAGAACTGACATTTGTAAAAAATGGCTACAAACACTTCCTCTTCTTAGCCCCCTTAAGCCCTCTTGATCTGTTTAAATCCTCAAAGATAAAGTGCTCAGACCCACCCATGGAAAAAGCTCCCAGAAAGCAACAGGTGCAATATATGTTTTCATACCGGTGTTGCGTGTCAAAACGCCTTTGAGGATATGGTTACTTCCAGACAGTGAGCGAGCCACAGGAAGTCTTCTCACACGCGACGATTCAAGGGAGTAATTTAGAGTCCTTTAGGGCCGGTCGGTAAAAGCTGCCTCGGGTCTCTCCCTTCATTTCCTCGATGGTCACAAAGGGAGACCATCAAGCAGCTCTGCTCTCGCATTGTGAAGGCGCTGATGTCGGAAAAGCCTCGTCCCTGTGCAATGACCTGCAATGTATGGTTTACTCGTATCAAACCTACAGTTCCTTCCTCCAAGACTGAGGGGAAAAGGAACAGACCGGATTTAATAACAGCTCAGTTTCAAGGTCGGCGTCAACAACAAACAGGAATTCATAGAAGAAGAAAACTATTATTATTATTATTGTTTTGCATGTTTAAGGATTTCAAAAGGCAGCTATTTACATTTTTTCTCCTAGTGGGCAAGGGAAGTGTAAGCCATCAATTAGTCATTTTACACAGATTTTCTAAATGATTTCACCATGTTGGCTTTTCAAGAGAAGACAGAATGAACTTTGATTAGGGAGGGTTTTCTGATAAACTGACCAGGACTGGGTCTCTTATTCGTTCTCTGTCTCTGGCAGATCACAATCTGAAGGGTTATGGCCAACATTTAGTAGTTCATTTTTAAATAGAAGATGGTCCTATAGGAGCAAGTAATTAAATCCAATTCAAACAACTGTGTTAATCCCTTTGGTGCAATTTGTTTAAAGCAACTTGTGTACATAACATGAAGGTTGCACAGAACGTGAGCGCCTTCCGGGTTGTGAAGATACCAGCAAAACCAAAACATCTCTTTAATACTATTACAGCACTGGGACTTTTTTCCTTCTATTTATTCATATCCTGGGTATGATGTGGATGCTTTTATTCAAATGTGTGTCTTTGTGTGGAATGGTATTTATTAGTGTGAATTTTATGTAACTGTACTTTTTTAACTTCAATGCACCTACAAGGAAAAGTGATCCCAATTTTGTTGAATCCTATCATATAATGACAATTGTATGACAATACTTTAAATGGAATTTAATTGAACAACACCTGCCTCTTACAAACCATCTTTTTCAAATTGAATTTTGTATACTTAATTAATCCTCTGTGGGAAATTTGTCTTTATACTCTGTTTTTCTCTCAGTTGCTAGGCCCATCTCCACACGTGCACAAACAGGAGCTTTAGACATGCAAAGATGTCGGAGTGAGGGGACTACACATGGGACTAAATCTGACCTGCAATGATCATACAAAATCCCCCTGTCCTCACCAAGGGTGTCAGGGTCTGACTTGTAACTCAGCGGCTGTAGTCATCAGGAAATACAACAAGGACACGTCCCATTTTTGCTTAAAAAACATTTGACAAATCAAAAAAGCTGCAAAAAGTTGTCATCTAAATAAAATCCAAAACTGATATTTACATTAAAAGTTCAAAAGTAGTGATTTTTGTATCTGTTTTTAGATGTTAAGGAGTGGCACTAAATTGCCAACATGTCAGAATTCAGCAATACACCCGGCTGACAATGTCAAATTGTCAAGACTTTACGTATCACTGGGGAGGCATTGTTATTATTATTACTTAGACCTGTATGTTTCCTACTATCACAAGTGAAAACCTCTGCTGTCACTCAGCTATTTCCCCGTCATAATTTCAACTGTACAAAAAAATAACTGCCAGTAAATATGAATTTGTTTATATTAGAAAAAACTGGTGATAGATATTAAATCCTTTACATGGCAGACATTCTCTTGGTGGACGGGTATAGTTTATATAAATAAAACACAGATTTACACAAACAGACTGATATATATCCTTTAAATAACATTACATAAGTTCTAAAAAAAACAAACTTTTTTTGTTTGGTTAAAGAGTTACATTTCCCCCTGCTGGTAAATCGTCACTCTGCAGTCAGCAGCTGAAAGAGAAAGCTCCATGTGTGTGAATCACCTGAACGAAGTCTCTGAAAAAAAAAAAAAAATCTAAGCTGCTCCAGCGTCAGCGCAGATCAGGTGTGGAAGCCCCCAGGTAGGTGGTGAGGTCTGAGTTGTTTGATTTGATGAGCTTGGCTGGGATGGTCGACATGTTTAACCTCTGATAGGCAGCGAACCTGTGACAGCCTCCGAAAGAGTAGTAGTAATTCCCCCCCTCTCGACCTTTGATCCAGAGCACATCAATGGGAGGAACAACACTGACGTCTGCCGACTCCTGGAAGGACCGAAAACATGACGCTCAATACATTCAGCACGTTTAGAGCAGAGAAGAAAACAAAACATCAAAACACAAAACCTCTACACTCACATAAATATATCAGTGCATGAGCTTTATGTTCTCAAAGCTAACCACTTCAGAGATAGTGGTTTTTTTGTTTAGATTTTCTTAATTGAAAATGAAGCTGAATTCCCCTCTGCAGCAAAGGTGAAAAGATAACATTTGGATGCCATCCAAGCCCTGCCTTAAATGATTCTTTATTACAAATCTCAGGTACAGTAAATTTGCAAATCTCAGGTACAGTAAAGACGGTGAAGTCTCACAGTAATCACATCTTCAGTCTACAACTGTGGGATTCTCCTGTCTTGTTACTATTGTAACGTGAGGGTCCGACGTGTGGTGGACGGATCGCTTCAGTTAAGAGACACAGAAGGATGGAGACGGATAACTTTCTCAGCAGCACTTTACTGTCACCCACATTGTTCTGCTACACAACAACCAACACTTCCATGTTACTCATCACGTGTCCCGTCCTTAGCCAATCAGAGGTTAGGATGATTCAACTCAAGGCAAACATTATGACAAACACAGAAGCAGATTCAATATAATTTGGTCACAGTTACTAGGTGCTACTGCAAACATTAAAACATGCAAGTATATCAATATTAACTTTGTAAACTCAAATATGTAAATAGTTCACTGTATCTATGTTAACTAATTTTTAACTTAAACTTAAATGCATGGATTAACTCAAATATATGACTTTACTTCACTTTTATTTATTTTATTTTTTTATTTACTCCCACAAGTAAATCACAACATGTTAAAGCCTATGTAAGTTATTTATAAAGAGATACATTTGACAAATCATCATTTTACTGTCTTAATGCAACGCCATATCCTTAACTTTTACATGTATACATAGGCTACATATATTTATTTTTTTACCTTTATTGTGTTCATCAGACTCTGGACTTTGAGCTCATCCAGTACAGGAGGAATAGGTCTGATGATGACATCCATCGGGACGTGATGAACCTCTTTGATGTTGTCCGAGTGAATCGACTGACCTGACTGAATGGACTCTGACGTCATGTTTCTACAAGACGAAACAAACAGTTTCACCCCGGGGTTACCGCCGAGCCAAAGCCGAAACATTTACCTGCTGACCGTAGCAGCCTGGTTCATCTACTTCCTCGAAACTAGTTTGTTTACGTAGGGCGTAACGTCAGTGTCGTCAACAGAATGTTTTAATTGGTCACTGGCGCTGTCAATCACAGATGTGCCACGCCCCCTCAGAACAATTGGTTGGTATGAGTTAGTTTGGCAATAAATAGACCAAAAAGCTTGTTTTTTTTTCTAACGTTAACATCTTAAAACGTGTGTTTGTTTTAAAACTGTCCTTTGTGGTCATATTATGTTAAAGAATGACAATGCCTGCTGAATTAGATAGCTGGCATAGGTTGAAACTACTGTTGCATAGTTAAGAAGTTGTCAATGCAACATTAATATGACATCACTTTTTAAGGTTAATATGGTTTTCTAAGCAACAACCCAGAACTTTCTGAGCAAAGTAACCAGTTATTTTAGTGGAGTCAACTAATGAAGGTAAGTTCAAAATGTTGTCTTTTTTTAGCTTTGTTTTTAGGCTCCACCATAGACTGTAAAAATAAGTAAATTACTATTAAGTAAGTATAAGTTACTGTAAGTAATTTAGGCTACCAACGACTTATCTGGCTCTGTATCTGCTGATTAATCCAGTTCACTGGTTATTAACTAAATATTTCTGTAACATGATACTGGGCAGGAAATGTAGATTGGGTGATTGTTTAAATGAATGCAGCTGTAGACATAAGGTTAGCTATTAGAAAGGTTTGAACTGATAGTGGAATTTGATCAGCTAAACAGTAATTTAAAACTCGTTATTAAGCTTTAAATGTTAGGAAACTGCAGATTAAAGAATTTTCTGTAGGTATTACTTTCAGTGACCCTTTCCGGTTGTCACATTGTTTTTACCATTTAATTTGATTCAATTGGTAATGTCATGTGAATATATAGGCTAGTACAATCTCCTTAAATATATGAATTTCTCTCTTTTGTCTGTACAGCCACATAATCAGCATTTAAGTCAGAATGCTTAGAAATGCAGTATATCTCCAAGTCATGAAAGTCATTCATAGCATAATAAAGTACAGAACAATACAGACAAGGAAACAAACAGAGCATTGTATTACACCAAATAGTGACACATGTAATTGTATTTTGTATTGTCTTTGCTTTAACAAACATTCCTACACTTTGTTTTCTCATATGCTGAGAATATGTTTGAAGATAAATGGACCTGATCTGTCGTTAAACTTCAATAACAGAAATACTTACAGTAATTAAATACTTACAGTATTTAATTACAGTAGTAAATCAATAAAATGACCATGAGCAACCAACTAAGAAGAAGTAATGGAGTATAAATCTCATAACAAAGTGAAGTGTTTGTTTTTCACACAGAACATTAGGGTTAACAGGCTGGCTTCCTGGCATGTAAACAGCCTTTATTGTTAGAAAGCTGTTGAATATTTCTTGGTATCTATAGATGTAGTGCCAAACACAAACTTTAGCCCTTTTCTCAGACAACTTATTCATTTCAAGGCCAAAGTGTTTCTCATTAAATTGTATTCCTGCAATTAGTCATGCAGTTGAAGGGAGCCGCTACAAGCTCACAATCCTTTGGTGACAATAGTTTTTAATGAGGTCAGTGTTTTGTGTTGTCGACTGTTGGTGTGATATAGGCTTCCTCCATCAAAGTGCACTAGTTGGTGATTTTCTATTTTTGCAGGGATTTCAAAGAGCCAGCCAGGTTGCTGTGGTTACAAAAAAGGGACGTCTGGGCCCGCAGCATCGCACAGGTAAGTGGAACGCTTCAAAGATTTGTGGCAGTGGAGTGGAAACAGAACTATTGTTGTTTTCAACCAACGCACAGCTACAGCATCTTCTAATGAGACAATTAAAAATGATTTCTTGGACAGGAGAGGCAGGCCATTATATTGAATTATCACAAATACTTTGAACTGCAATGGCAGCATCTCTTATGTTGATTAATTGGTCACACGGGGATCAGTAGCAACATGAAGGAGGTCTATATATATATAGTGTTTAATCATTAACGGTGGTATCAGTACATTATATATCCTTGTAGAATAAAACAGAACAAAACACAGCCTGTGATTTAGGACCTGCAGTGAATGTAATCACCTTTTTTAAGTTTCGCAGCAACAGAAACGATCTGTTTATGGTTTCCCCAAAAGTCATTTTAGATTTTCTGCCTTTTTTCCCCCCCCTGGAAGAGCAATTTGGCGGATAGCACTATAATATAAAGTAACTCAACATCTCCAATTAGACTGTAATATGCTGTTATCGAGCGTGCCGCTGCCTGCATGACTTGGTGTTACTGTCTGAATAACTACAGTATTGTAAATATGTATGGTGACATATCCCCCCCCTGGGCATTCACCACTTTATACAATGTCAGATTCAAGTGGTTTCTTTGCTGTCAATCAAAAGCCACTTTATCACACGCTGAAAGATGCCAACATCACACAAAGAGAAAAAAACAAACCCTGTCAGTCAAAGCATATAGACATGTAAATCATCTCCAGTGCTGAGGTGTGTTTGGAGTCCCACTACACTCTGTGTGACCCTCTGCTGTCACAGCAGGACTGTATTCTAGTCACTAACATATCTCAATTACTTAGATTGAGTTAGTCACACAGGTACAGCGGCAGGTCACGGAAGAACAGTTCCCACATAATGATTTGCTGTTAATATTAGATTTCAGTCCCCGTGGGATTGTCACACTTAGAGCAGCTGGAGAAAATTACCTGCCAGCGTTCCGACAGGGAAGTGAGCTATATTTATTTATACCATCTTTTTTTTTTTTTTACACGTTGACATGCTTTTAAAGTGATAATTATTCTGACGCCGATTTCCAGTCTTCAAACTATAGCTTTGTGATAGATGAACGTGTCTAAAATTGTGACACGGTTTAGCAGCGGAGGATGTTGCTGTGTTTGCGGCTGGATGTGTGACTGATTTGTTCACTGATGTTGATTATTCTCTGGTGGCTCTCGCAGCTTAAATTTATGAAATTACTCTCTGCGCTGACTCCTTCTAGTAAACTGCCCAGAACGGGATTTCTGTTTAATGATCTTCCTTGCCTTGAAATTAAATTGCTCTCCCAACCTCACCCCAGAGAGAAGAGGCGCAGTACATTTGGAGTGAGATTATTTAGATGCGGATTAAGCTGCAGACTTACATTTCAGTTCATTAATATTAACCCTTAAAACTGAAGCAATACATGTTTTCTTTTTCTTTTTTTAACTGTTCAGACATCGACACAAAAAGCTTTCAAATATTCTCATTTATCTGTAAAACAAATGATAAAAAACCTTACGTCTGTAGTTATTTTGCTTCCTGTGTTTCTGCATGTATTGTATATATGAAAAGGAAAAAATTAGCTATTTAAGGAATGCACTCCTTGACTTCTGCTTGAGTGCTGATGACAAGTTGGATATCTTAGATGCATAAAAATGTGATTTTGACATGACTTCAAAAAGAGAAGCATACGGATGAGGTGGACCCTCTGCCAACAGAGAGACGGGGAAACAGATGGGTTTTACACAAACAGCACAAACATCAAGAACACTGAGTTAAAGAGCTTGGCAGTCTCACTTGATGAAACAGTGAGGAATGGAGGCACTTTTAATGAGCCTCTCTCCTGTGATGCAGAATGTGAAAAGACAAACTGTTAGCTCTTAAAGGGCCAGTTACAGTTGGTTGGCCCTGAATGGTTGAAAAGAACGGTTTTACTAACCTCTTGTTGACTATTGTTGGTCACTGTGAATGCACATTTGTTATAAGATGGATAGAGATGGCATAAACTGAGATTCAGGAAACACAGCCTTGAGTGGAACATGTCGCACAGTTGTGTTTATCAGTTGAACATTTAACAAAGCTTGTTGTTGTCGTTGATTTTGAGTGCTGACAGTTGGTGATTCACCAACAGATGGCGCCAGATGTATGGGCAGGGTCAGAGGAAAGGTTTCTGTGTTGAATCCAGAAGTGATATTTTTTCTTATTATAAAAATGTCTTGTTGTTTCTTATGTCACCTGTTCGAAACGGAGAGACACCAGTTGCAACTGAAATTCTTTTTCATTTTAAATTGTAAATGGACGTTGATAAAGAACAGAGAAGTATTTATTAGACTGCAGTTTTTGCACACACTTTTTTTTAATTTAATGAATATCTGAAGGCCCATCACAGTTCACAGAGCCCATATGAACGTCTTCAGATGTCTAGTTATACGATCAGTAAATACTCACATTTAAAAGGGTTCTTCCAGGAATAAATCTGGGTTTTTTTATATTTTCAAACAAGTCAAATCATTAGATATATTCAGAATAATTATCTGACGAATGGATCTATTGACTGACTTCTTTTAGCAACAAAGTATTTTTTTTTTCCAGGGTGGTAAATCAGTGTAAAACACTTAGAGGCAAAAAAAAGCAAATAACATTACTACCAATTGATCTGTTATATTCTCATATATTTTTCATTTATTTATTGATCTTTAAATGTCAGTTCAAAGGGGAAATTGGTTGTTATAGTTTGCTTACGTTCCAGATATCCAGTTTACCATCTCAAGTCGATATAAATGTCAGAAGATGTAATTTTAGCATTTTTCCTTTACAGACTCTTTAAATTAAACTTTAAATTACCCCTTTGAACTGACATTTAAAGATCAATCAAAAAATTTAAAATATGAGAATTCAAATTGTTGTTCATATTTTTTCTTACACTGAACCATTCAATTTATCGTCTAATCAGTTCAGCTGTAATATGATTTGCTGCTGGATGTGTCTTGTGTGAGAAAGGAACCAGTTGCAATTACATTTGTACTATTGAACTTGAAATCTATTTATTATGAATATAGATTTTTGTCCTCACGTCTTTAATCACTGTCATCTTTGCCGTAGAGATAATTTGTCTGTGCATGGAAGCAGTTCAGTTAAAGTTAGAATAAACACAGCTGTAAATTCACAAACATATCATCCATAGTTTAATGTTTGTTTTCCTTCAGTTTGTGCTGTTCAATATCTGTTTCTGCTGCTGGATGAAGATCTGTGCAGTAACCTTGCGGCAACCCCTCACCCCATCAGAAGGCAGTTACATTTCCTCTCAGAGAGTCACTCAGAAGATGATGGTGTTCTCAGGTCAATATCTTTGAAGTGAGCATGTGGCATGCTCAATTTTGTAGGATGTTTTCAATAATTTACCTGAAGTGCTCAGTGTGTGTGTGCGTGTGTGTGTGTGTGGTAGTGAAAGGCGAAGGCTGAGCATCATGTATGAAGGGAGCAGTCCCCCTACCTGCCTGCCGGTGCTGATCACTCATTGCTTCTTGTTCTTACACACACAGCACAACCTCGGGCGTAGTAATTGGATTGCATGGGTCCTCATTTTATAGTCCATTGCCGTGTAATGAAATCAGTTATTTACTTTCATCATAAAATGTGATAAGGGACAACATCTGCCAGGGTAAAGTTTGAGTGAGTACGCCCATGAATGATGATGTGAGCTCTCTGAAATGTTGCTCCTGTGTGCAACAGAATCAACACTGAGTTTAAACTCGACAATTTATGTACCTGTACTTATTTGTGGAACTTCAGCAACTAAACAAGCACAGACGCTTGCAATGACAGCCACAGCAATCACTGCTTTCCAACGTAAAAAGAGAGGAAAGAGCAGCAGAAGTGTCCTGCTCTGCTCTCTGCCTGCTGCCTCATTATACTGCTGCTGTGCTGCTGGAGGACACTGAAGGACACAAACGATTGAATTCAAGTGTTGTATATTCCCTGGAAACCAATCAAGAAAAGCCCCAGAATAATAATCCCTGTCCGCTGTCATGATTCATTTTTATTTTGTTCCATATTTTCCTCCCGCTTTTGAGTCGCTCAGAAAGACTAGTTCCAGCATAAAATCAATGTTCCATTAAAATTTAATGACCGGGAAGGGCTTAATAGTGGTGGAACAGATGCCTCTGCTTTTGATAACGCCGACATCCCAGGAACTCTTATTCAAAGCTGGATTGGTGTTGTCAGGTCTTCTGACCGTTCCTGCTCTCAGCTGCTGAGAAAAAAACAAAGAACATTGGCATTTGGGGGCCTGTGGCGGTGAAATTAAAAGAAAGTAAATTGACAGTAAAGCTCGTAAAATTCATCAAACATTGACACAGGAGGCCACAGCTGATGGCACAGTACAGTCTAAACTATGATTTATTCACTGTGTTGACTAAAGGCTGTTTCAAACAGATTCCTGATACACCATTTATTCCAGTACGTTTCATATTATACACGTATATATTTCAGAGAAAGGAGTATCGAGAGATATTAAACCTGATTGAACAGGTGGGCCCGTCTACATTCGCCTGTGTGTGTGTGTGTGTGTGTGTGTTTGCAGGCTTCTCAGTGATGAAAAAACAAAACAATTTTGAAATCAAATGTGATCATTTGGAAAGAAAAAAAGAGTAGACGTCTGAGTGGTTCCTTGTGCTATTGTTTTTATTAATGTTATCATTGCTATTGTTGTCAGTATTAATTGCAGCAGAACAAGAAAAATCAAAACACCCCTCAGCAATCATGGCTTAGTTTCTTCATACTCAGCTGGAACAGAGAGAGAGAGAGAAAGATAAAGAGAGAGAGAGATAGAGAGAGAGAGTGAGAAAGAAAGAACGTGGAAAATCTTAATCAGTTTTTTTTTTCTTTGAGGACCATATGGAAGGTTTCAAGCAGCCAACCATATGTTGAAGGCTTTTGTCATGGAAATCATACTTTTTGGCACTTCTTCATTGCGCAGCCAAGCCGGGCACATAAATAAAATAGAACGAGAACAGAAGAAAAAAAAATGATACAGAACATGATCAAATCTTTGAGGATACAGTTGGAAGTAATTTTTTTATCAAGACACTCCCTGATTCGCATGGCCACCCAGACTGCAATTGGTACCTGTATTTGTCTCTTTTTTTAATAAAAAAGACAACATGAATAGAAAAAGAGCAATTAAATGTCTACATGCATTGTCATATTATTGCTGTGGTATATTTACAGTTCTATTTACAAAATCATCAAAGAGGAACAATGTTTCCCTACATCTGTAGTGAGAAGCCTCGTTTTCTGTCATTAGTATTTTCTCTACAGACGATCTGTAACACTGCCAGTTTGAGATTCAAGCCTGCGTACGATTTCCAATTTGATGTTTTTAATGATCTCATTGCTTTTATCTGCCTTATTAAAACAGAGTCCCCAGGTTTTCCCAGCCCAATATAAAATAAAACACATATTTTTTTAAAAAAATCCATAGGAAGTAATGACTTCTGCATCGGTTGAAGAATACAGCGACGCGCCCAACTGTGTGTTCTGCAAGTAAATCAAGAGACAGGTGGTTTGGATGCTCTCACGCAGTGATTCAGCTGTAGCACTTAGACGACCATTGACAGGCGGAACACGAGAGGATGCATAAACTGAGCAAAACTCCTCTTTTTTTCTCTTTGTTTTTTGATGTTTTCTTTTTAAGGGCGAGCTCAGCATTACTGCCATCGTGTCATCCATTTGGAAAATGCAAATAGCTGACAGTGCATTTGCCTGCTGGTGCTTGACCTTCCCCTTGGAGGTCGCTCACCGACTCAATTACGCTCCCTATCTGCAGTCTGTCTGCAAACACCTGTTATCCTCCCACACTCCGCCGCCCTCCGCCAATCCCACTTCAGCACATCTCATCCTCGCTGCGTCTGTTTAGAGGCAGTTGGGTTGGGATGAGGACGGCTGGTATTTGATTTGTACGGGGGGGGGGGGGGGGTGATGGAAGAGTTGGAAGTGCATTATTGCATGTCATTTTATTACAATTATCTCTGAAACTTTCTCTATCACAACAGTTTACTTTAAAATCTTTATGACTCAATAAGTGCTGTTTAGGACATTTATTCACTTTCAATCTTCAATTTCTTTCCTTAAGATGAAACTTTTAGAGTTATATGGAAGCATTTTGACTTTGACTTGAAATATATTTGAAAGGATTTGTTATTTTAGAAAGCCAAATGAAGTGTATTGTAATCCTGTTGTGTAACCCTCCAGTACAGTTAGATCATACCTACTACTCAGCTGTTGGAAAAGATTTAGATTTACCTGGAAGCTTTAAAAACAAAAGAAACATTTATATAAATCTTAACAATAATATAGAAAAGCAGTCGTTTCCAGTCGAATTAATGGCTACAGCAGTCGGGACTCACTGTATTTAAGATTCACTGTTGCTCATAGTTACGCCATCACTATCATTATTGCTTTTACACCTTTAATTAGAGTCGTAGATGACAACTACATTTTTTGGCTTTCTGATTTTACCAAATTGATCGTTTTATTTTCAGGCCCACGTGCATGTAAAAAATCAAACCTTTCTGGAGTTTGTTTATTGCCTGAGATTTGAAGACTGAAAGGGGGCTAAAAAAATCTCCTGTAACAAGGAGGCGTTGGACTTTTGGAAAAACAGTAAGATGATGAATATTTTCGTTTTTCTTATTCTGTTAATCTTTTTATTGCTCCAATCGACTGAAAAGAGGACAGCTGTGATTGTTATACATGTCAATCGCCATTTCAGTAAAGTTATTGCCACCAAAACAAATAAAAAATAATTCTGCATTCATTCATTTGAAGTCTGCTAACACTGGTTCTGTACATTGTTCCTCTTTAAAAAACTAAGTCCCACGGACTCTCTACAGTTTTCATGCATATAAACATTTTCTTTGAAGATCAGCAGCATCTTGCAAGGTCAATGGATGTTCCTTTTTTAAATAATAATAAATAAATACATGATAATGAACACATAAGCAAGTCTTCAATAAATACACAAAATCAGGTCGATAAATAAATAGATAAATAGGTAGTTAAACAAAGTATTTACATGATAAATAGATGAAATGCATCTCAACCGTGGGCGGAGCTTTTAGCGACATATAAAAGAGACAAACAGAATCTTTGAGTGTCACTTTGTAACTGAGGGTGTGTGAGTCCATACCTTCACTCTGAGGTAACACAGGCAGAGGGGGAGCACCTCAAACACTGGGTGGACATTGCTCTTAAAGATGGAACGATGCACCAGAAAGGCAGCAGAGTTTATGCAAGCCACCATGGTGAAGGAAGAACATCAAGAGTTTTCATTGCTATAGACGAGTCGACCGCACATGGCACTTATTACGATAGATCATTTGGTCTGGCTCCCAGTGTGTGTTTTTTTTTTAATTATCTAAGTCTGTATATCAGAATGAGACTATGAATTGGATCAGACAGAGGGTGTGAAAGCCTGTTCAACAGGCCAGTTTTAAAATCTCTGCTCTTGCAGATTAAATTGAATGACCTATGGCCTATGATCTTGTATAGCTTATTCAATTATTTTTAGTTGAATACCCACAGTTACAAAGATGCTTTTCATCAACAAGGGATAATAAGCACAAAAAAATAAATTTAGAAAAATCAAATAGAAAAATAACATCCGTTGAATTGAAACATTGGTGTGAAAAAAGGGTTTGTCTTTTTACCTTTTGAAAATGATCTCCCTTTTTTGCAAATACTGTCATAGTTCACATTTTCATAAAAAGTTCATGTTGGCAGTTGCAAAAGAATTCAATTCTTAGCAAATAAAAAGCAGCATAAAAATACAAGAGGTCATTTTGTCTCTAAAAAACAAAAGAACACTGTAAGTCCTTTTTTGTGTGTGTTTTTTTTTTTTCATTTTCTCTTTACTATTTCCTATAAAATATCAGGAATCTAAATATTATTACTATTGATATCAATATCATTATAGTCATTGATAAAAATTCACATGCCAGGCCTCATATATAATTGTGTGTGTAAGTGTGTGCACACGTGCGTACATTTCTGTGTTTTTGTGGAGTGTGCGTGCATGTCTGTGTGCGTCTGTTAGTATGTGTGTATACATGTGCCCACATCCGTGCAAGCACATGTTGCTTAATTGTGTACAACTATCATCTACAGTCTCTATTTGGGGGAAGGTTGTTTGATTGTATGTTTCTGTGGACGATTAGCTACTGTGCAGGGAAAAAATCCAGCATCTTTTGAAATTGTCTTTGCCATAATCATTAGAGTTTCTTCACGTAATCTCAGTGAAAATATTGCTTTCTAAAAAAAGGGAAGAAAAAAGGCATGGAGGGCAGAGTGAACAGGGTTATTGGTTGTGAACCGACAAACAGAGGTTCAAAATTTAGCTTCTTCTTCGCTGTTAGTTTTCTGATCCAGAGTCGTCTTCGTCTGCAGAGCCCTTGAAGCAAGCTGACTCATAGTGCTTGTTCAGGTAGGACTTGAGAGCGAAGGTCTTATTGCAGCGCTTGCATCGGTAGTGCTTGAAGGCAGAGTGTGTTTGCATGTGGGCGCGGAGGTTTGAACGGTCAGCAAAGGCTTTGCCACAGTGCGCGCAGGCAAAGGGTTTCTCCCCCGTGTGCGAGCGCATGTGACCTTGGAGGAGCCACGGCCGACTGAAGGCCTTGCTGCACACATCGCACTTGTGCTTGAGGTCGTGGGTGAGGATGTGCATGGCCAGCGCAGGCATTGACACGTACACTTTGTTACAGGTGGGACACTTGCGGGCCATCTTGCTGTCCAGGCTGCGGTGCGTCTGCTTGTGTCTGCTGAGGTTGGAAGAGGTGGCGTACGTCTTGCCACACTCGTTGCAGGTGTGGCGAGCCGTGCCGGCTACCCCTCTCTCCTGAGCCCCGCCGTTGGCGCTGCTGCTTCTAGAGCCCCCTCCCCGACTCTCGCTGTCTGCCTTCCGCCTCGATCGCCCGTCAGAGATGAAGAAGGCATCCATGGTGTAACCCTCGGCCAGGGCCTCTGATTCACCACTGTAGAAGCCGCTGGCCGTCATGCCAGACTGCGGGCTGTCGGGGTGCTTCAGGTCGGGGTCGCAGTACTCCCCTCCACTGCTCACCTGAGTGTAGAGGGGGTCTGACACCGGCGAGGCCAGCTTGTGCTCCATCTTCTTCTCCTCCTGGTATACAGATGGCGTGATGTAATCCTGGATGTAGCCTGGGTAAGAGACACACGCAAACACAGTTGGCCAGGGGTTGTGATGGATAAGGACATAGTGACATGCTGCTGATTACATGATTATCATGCTGGATGAATGCCCTGCACGGAAACGGTGAAAAAGTGAGTGGCAGCACAGAGGTAATTGCATTTTTTTTGAGAACTCACAGGTTGTACGCACAATCTGGAAGTGATGCAGGGAGGCATGACACACTCTGCTGCGTTCAGGAAGGTTGAAATTTTACAATGAGGCTGAACGTTAGATAATAGCTCATCAAGGAATTCTCCTGTGTAAGAAGATGCATATTAAAGCCCCTCTTAAATAAAGTAGTCTTATTAATGACAGCTCCTTTCCTCATGTCAGTTCTCTATCGCTGAGGTCTATCTTCATGTTTGTTTACCATAACCTGAAACCTTGACAGATATCCACACTTTTTATTTTATCTTTTTTCCTTTTAAAAAACACATTCCAAAACATTGATCTCTAAACAGATGTTTCTTTTTTTCGTTGCAACAAATACCTGATTTTGTAGGACCAGATAAACTTGTTACATAGCTGCTTACATCCTGTAGGATTTCATCTCACTTCTCAAAGCACAAAGCACCACAAGTCATTTCAATGCGTCCAACTGCATAGAACATGATTTCAGAGAGATATATTTCTGTTGGCCTCATTCATGTCTTTTCTTTCCCTCCGAAGCAGCCCGGTGCCAGAGGAGCTAAAAGGCTTCCTGGCAGCTAACAACACTCAATACATTCTTATGCTGTGAATATCAGGAGCGTAATAAAACTATACGCGTTCACCTCCAGGGCTGATATTCTATAGGCTCAACATGTGAGTGCAAATGTAAAATAAAGTGAAACTCTTTTCTTGAGAGAAATAGTGCATAACTGCAGAAAAAAAAGCCATCCCTAAGCAGTGTGTGCAGCAAGCGGTGGAAATTAGTTATTGACTGCTTTTTAATGAAATTCAAAGTTTAGAAGTGATCAATAGGCTATCATATGTAAAATAGTGCAGCTGTTACAGAAGCCGAGCAGGGGAGAAGATAGAAATAGTGCAATGAACAGATCAAGTATCTGAGACACACAATTATAGTTTATCGAGCACAGTGTGCTTGAAGCCTGATAATGTCAGACATGGCTTTAAACACATTGTTTGTGAAGAGGGTCACCTGTGTACAGCAGAGAGCACGCTGAAGAGCCTCCAAGAAACAGCCCATTAAGAAATCAGTTGAAGTGCTCTCTTTACTACAGGGTCTCCATTCCCAAAGGGGTTCTGTTCACACACGCACTTTGTCAAAGACACGACCATGACAACCCGGGGACAGGGAAGCACCAGGTCTGTGCACACAGCACTCCACTGCACTGCATGAGGTCACAGATTGTGTTTGTCTGAAAGAGATCAACATTTTCTTTCTAAAACTAAAGAGAAGCTATTTATCATTTCTAAAAGGAAATACCTACATAATCAATTTAACAAATGCTGCAGCTCTCACAGCTAAATCCACCTGAAGGGTCTCTATACTTCATGCCGTGTATGGTCTTTTATTTCGCTGTTGTTGTTTTTTCACATAACAAACTGTATCAGTGTAAGCAGCATTGTTTACTTTGCTTCAATCATCCAAGGTCAGACACAGAGCTCATCATTCAGGACCTGCGCTGTATCAGCCTTTACAGCTCATGGACTCACTCCTCTAATGCAAAGTAAGCATGTAATTAATGGACCCTCTCAGCCACCCCTCTTTGTTGTTCCACAGACACTCAAGTCAAATGTCTCCACAATGGGGGGAAAGGAAATCTGCTGGCGCTGCAGAAGTGCTGATGTCGGGTATTTCTGCCATACTGAGAATTCTTTTATATTTTATCCTTTTGACTCAGCGTGAAAATAATCTTTTGTTGAAATGAACTGCCTTTTTTTTGAAACACCAGTGTAGTGCGCTACCTTCTTTTCTGCTCTTTGATAGAATGCTTATGTTGCATGGTGTTGAACAATAGACCGAGGAACAATAGAGAATAACTGTGATTATAAGAATTGATTGTGCTCCTGAAAATATAAATCTATGATTCAGCAGGAAATGTAAACAGCGTTTGTTTCAAGCTGCAAAATGTGCCTGGTAAGCAAAGAGGAAACACATGCTTTTATTTCTTGCTTTAAATTCTTTGATCTGTACCCTATTAGCTGGTTTTAATTCAGCAGTTAAATATTTCCAACCAGTACAGGAATCTTTGCTATTCCACTAAAACCTGATGCATCTAAAATCCACTCGGCCTTGTTATAGAAGCGGTTGAATAACAGGTGGGCAGCATCATCACAACACTAAGCTGTGATCTGTGAAGCCTCTCTCGCTGTGGAAATAACCTGACAAAGCACAACAAAGACACACATATGGTCCCTAAATGTGGCCACAAAATGGAAGCAGCGAGCTTAAAGCAGAGCGTGAAAGTGAAGGTCGCCTCTCAGCTCAGACCGGAGCTTCCTGTGGCCGGACCGCCGTGTGCTGACCACAGTGCAGCTATGTGCCTTTCTTCATGTTTACTGTACAACCTCCATCACGTGATCTGCCTCACTGCTGCCCCAAGCATTTTTGTCTCCCTTTTTCTCCTTCCCTTCGCTCCCCACCTCCCTCCCGGCCGTACTGTACACTGTGCTGATGTCTCTTGTGGCGACGATAGGCCTGCACGGCTGAAACTCTAACCCCTGCTAGTTTTTCCGAATGCCCGGAAGGAAGAGAAAGATGTAGTGGAGGGATGGGGGTGGGGAGACTGTGCATGCTCCATTTGGATGGGAAGAGGGGGGCAAGGGAGGATCGGACGGTGATGGGAACTCAAGGACAATAACAGCTAAGGACAAATGTATCATCTGATACTCATCTCTCATATTCATGAATTTTTTAGTCCACATGAGGGCCAGATATAGTCAGCGTATGTGTGTTCAGCCGACACAGCAATGGTACAGTCATACAAATACGTAACTGGAGCTTCTCCTGATTATACACACGTTTTGTTCCCTATTTACATAAGCTAATCCGCGGCTGTGACCTGAATTGTGTCTGTCCTTCACTGGAGTCAAAAAACAAAAGTCTGGGAGCAGGGTGGTGGGGGTGGGGTGCCTCTGGAGAGGATTATTTAGGATATTAATGCAAAAATCAGCTGGCAGCATGTTACGTCTCACACTAATTTACACACTACGAGCATGTTATTGGCTCGAGCAAAAGAAAATCTCACCCGATGCAAAAACAAAAGACGATGCCATCTGTGCTAAGTGTGGAAATGTCAGGCATGCTGAAATCAGCATCAGAGCTGTAGCGCTAACAAATATTTTACTGGTAAGACTGCAGGCATGTTAACTCACCATTCTCACTAAGACGGACCCCAAGGCTGGTCACTGAGTCTGTGATGGAGCGTGCAAAAGTGAACGAGTCGTCCAGGTGGTGATGATGATTGGAGGTGGCCACATTGGACGAAGAGAAATCATCAAGCTTGATCTTCTTCACCAAAAATGAGCGGGGCATGTTTCAATGGATAAAAACACAGAGCTGAGAAAAACGCATGAGAGAAAATAAAGGAGACCCTCTGTGGAAGCACGCGTGCAGAGCTGGCTTGACGGTAATCCTTGCGGTTAATGTGGAGACAACGGCCAAAAACATAAGATAAGAAAGAAAATGGAAACCAGTGAAGAACAAGGCTGACGGCAATGCTGTGTGATACTCTCTGGCTCCCCCAGCTTCCCCCGGAAAAATAAAAAAATAAAAAATAAAAGCGATCCTGTTCAGCACTGGATAGCTCCTGTGATGCAGCAGGCTTAAGGGACCAGTGAGAAAGAGAAGAGATGGAGACAGACAGAGAGAGGAGGGAGAGAGAGACTGTCAGACTAGCTGAGATCAGCAATCACGCCAGCCTTTATATGGGGCACAGGCAGTGGAAGATCAGGTGGTGCTGCGAAATGGAGCTGCTTAGCTTTAATCCATCAAATGTCCCCGGGGACACACATCAAATTACTACTGAACCGTCTGTGCATTCGCACACAGACAGAGGAGAAAGAACACAGCCAGACCCCCACTGCCCCCACTGCTGCTCCCCCTTCCCCTCCCCTCCCCTCTTTCACCCTGCCTATGCTCCATGCTCGGAGGAGGAGTAAAAGAGGAGGACAGACAATGGAGATGTGGATGAGAGCACACTCAGTGTCCTGTCCCCCATTGTTTTCAGATGAAGTGGCACAGTTTATGTTTGCCTTGTACAGGCGCTGCCTCCCTCATGTCATCTCTGTTACCTCAGACAGCCTCAGATCTCTGGGCTCCTTCGCCACGCTGCGCTGTACACACACGCTGAGGGCACCCGTACAGTACAGGAGAGGTTATCTGAGCGTCTGGGAGAGCTGGACCCTTTTATTAAAGCTGCTCTGGATTCCAGCAGTGTTGACGAGCGAGCTATGGGGAAGCACCAGTGCTGATCTGCTCGGCTGCTCTCGCTCCCTCCACATTACGGCTGCACAGATGTGTGTCCTGCCATGCGTGGCAGTGAATTATCTGATTAATTAATTACATTTTTTTTGATTAGGGTGAAATCTAGAATTAGATCCATGCTTGCTAAATTGGCCAGCTATCTCTGGGTTGGTTTGTATTTGTGAGGATTCATTAGCTCACTTTATTGATGTTATGCTACATTATACATTTCATTTTTTCATCACAACTCAATGATCGTTCTTCTCTTGTAAGGATGAATTAAAGAGAAATATTTGGACAGAATCATTAAATCTCCCGGATGGTCTGAAAGCAACAACTTACACTGAGGCAAAAATGATGCACCTGTTTGATTCACTATCAACAGGAAACACTTGCATCACTTGTTTGATTAATTCATGGGGACAGTATTAAATAAAAACAACAACTATTAAATAAAAAATCTGGAACGGTTATGTTTGCTTATATAATATAATGAGGGAGTTAAAGCATCCAAATAGTGTAGAGACCATGTGCATTCTTTTCTGCTCCGTTTTGAATTGGAGCTGTTACGGTGGTGGTGAAGTCATCATGGGAAAAAAAAAAAATCTAAATTCTGGTTCATTTTTGTTATCATGTTTGTAATATTTATTTATATACACAGTTTGTCATTTTTTTAAACAATCACATCAGCAAGTCAGCAAATGTGGAAAATGCCCATTGCATTTTCTGAATGTTTCATGATTTTAAAGAAACAGTAAAGAAAACATTTTTTAATTCTAATTTTCTAATTAAATTCTCACTTCTGGTAAGCCGTAATTCTGCATTTCTATGACCCTACATTAAAGAAATTAACTAACAAATGATTTTTTTCTTCACTTGCTTTATTAGCTGCATAAAATTCTCTTTTTTTTTCTTCCTCTCTCAACATCTTTCAGCTCTGTGAATAAGTGGAGCTGTGAACAAAAATGCTGCATTAAACTCAGTTTTATCAGAGGAGCGTGTTTTCCATGTTAAAAATATTTTACCACCACTTGTGGATTCCAGCTGAAAAAAAATTCAATCTGTCCAACAACCCATCACGCTGTCTCTCCAGAGATGAAATGCTCATCTTATTACTGATTGAATATATATAGCATCCACGTTTATCTTGAAATTATACTCGACTGTGCTTTAGTTGATGCATTTCTGTCCAGAGCTTTAGGGGTGCACCCTCTCCTGCCAGGTACCTCTAACTCACCATGACAATAACAGTGACCCTGCAGCTCGGACGGTGTTAAATCGGGCAGGTCGGGATTTATCACACGTGTGTGATTGTACATTACAGGACAAGTTCACATTGCTGTCAACGAGCCAAGCTTATAGAGCCGAGGCAAGGACGAGAAAGGTCAGCAGAGGCATCATTGTCTAAAATAACGAGCTGTGCTGACGGCTTTCTTCTATCGGGGGAAATATTTACGTCATTTAATGAAGCCATGTTTTAAACAGAGTATTGGTCTTGAATGAGCTAATTGCAACAGTTTGCTTTTAGATATTTCACTAATCCCGCCCTAAACATCAGCTTCTTGTGTTGTTTGAGATCATTATTTGTTCATGAGAAAACTGTTGAATTATTCCTCAGACTTGAATCCATGGTGCAGACGGTTAAATAAACAATGAACCCTCGTTGATTCACATTGAGCTTTCCCAGCAGCTTCTCCAACCTGACGGTTCTTAAACTACAGCCCACCCTCGACTGAAACTCTCATTATTTCTCTCTCGGTCCTCAACACAGCAAGGGACTGACAGTCTAACATGTTTAAGTATAAACATTTTTACACTGCTGTAAGTAGCAGTTATTTTATTTTAACTCATTTTAAAAATGCCCAGAAAGCCAAAAATAAAGTCATAAAAAAAACCTGGAGCCCAAATATCATGTTTTATTCAAGCAAAAGTCCAACACCTTAAAATATTTAGCTCACAACTAATATGGAAAAAAGAAACCACTCCACTTATTTCTGGTACCTAAACCAGAACACTTGAATCTTTTTTTAAACAGTTCTTATCGGGTGACATAGTCTGAAAAGAAATATCAACGATCACAATCATTTTTGGACTGTATTTTTTTGTGGATCAGGAAAGTATCCCAAATCTTTGCAGCTCTAAATGTGACGACATGTTACATGTAGTTTCAAATCATTTTTCATAGATTTTTTACATGAATTGAAAATAAATGTGCTTGCTGATCTAAGGCCAGTCAGTGGAACACATCTCATTGTGTTGAAAATAAAGGTAATGTTTACACAGTATATCAATACATCTGCCACTTCCTAATAAATGATAATTTATCCTTTATTTCCACCTCATTGTATCTGATGCTGGAGGAAACCACCTGTAACTGTTAAACACAAAAAACAAGAACACTTGCAGATATGTTAGGTGACATTATTTGTGCTCATCATTTTCATGAATATAATTTTTATATATACTGTATATTATTCCATTCCATTGTATAATGATAAATAATGATTAATAAAATAGCGAGTGCAACAAGTTGTCAACAGGTCAGATGTGAAATGTGAGAAACAAAAAGAGAATCCTGCTGTGATTGAAACACTTCTCACGTTACTTGCTGTTACAACAGCAGGAAACTCTTTGCCAATTGTTTCCTCCTCCTCATGCCGGAGCTCCGTCCACTTATGGCCCCCAGACTCCATCTGACATGTGGTCACTGCCTCAGGACGTTACCATAGTAACAGACCCCCTCAGGCTGGAGGAGGAATGGTTTGTTCTACTCCGCTGCGGTGCTGGAGCAGGGGCTCAGCTCTGGTCAGATGGGAGGGGCGGGGGGTGGGGTGGTGGGGGCTTTCATTAACATCCTGTATGGCCCTCCAGGGTTATGGAGATGACCTGAGCAGCCGAATGAATGAAGTCAATCTAGTTGATTTGTTCCTTCACACTCTTCCACAAGAGACCCCCCCCCCGACAATTACCCCATCTACAGGAACATTTATTGTCTCTATTTACAGACACGTGGGGTCTGTTTAATCATTTCCTTTCAGGCTAATTCAGACTCCTGATATAAGAGAGAACTATGATTTCCACCTGGATTTTGATGCATTAAAGCTGAAACTTAAGCATCTCATGCTCGGCTCTGCTTATATAACGTCACTCTGAGCTTGTTGGGCTAGGTGAAGAGAAGCTAAGAGTCCATTAAGCACAGCCATCTATAATTCACCTCTCTCCTGCTTACTGGGTCACTTCAACGGGGCTTTTTTGAGCTGCAACAGCGGGAGACTGTTTTTCTCCTGAGAAACATAAGCACTGCTGATGATTTTTTTAAAGTTTCAAATAGAGTGTGAGCAAATATTAAATGCAACAAGTATTTGTTTAAAAGGAAAATCTAGTTTGTTGTTTCCGTTAAAGACATGCTGTGTCAGCCATCGTGCATGCATTTGACAGAAAGCCTCTTTTTTTAAAACCTTTTAACACAGACACTTATCAGACATGGCTCAGCGAATAAGGTCATGTAACCAATATTTAACATTTACTGTGGATTTCTAGTCCAACATGCAGCCTGAATGGACCTTAACTGCCTCCCCAGCCGTACTGTATCTAATGCTGTTTGGCAGAATGCTCAGTGTATCACTCATGCCCTATTTGGCTTGTGTCTGCCTGTTGTCCGCCATGCATCTCGGATCGTGTGTGCATTTGTTGTCCATGGGCAACTGTTCAGTAAATAGGGCAATTAAGTGTGAAAAGCAGAAAGGAGCTAGCATGTTCGTATCTCTTTGGTGGGGGAGATAATTTATGCTAATAACATCTCTACCGCTCAAGCTGCCCAAAAATGATAGCAGACCCCTTTGGCTTCAGAAGAATCTTTTCATCCTCTTGGAAGGAAAAAAAAAAAAATGGTTTCTCAACACCTTGCAAATAAGACAGCTGTGTGGCAGTGAATGAATCTTTCTCTCTCTCTCTCTCTCTCTCTCTCTCTCTCTCTCTGCCTTTCATCTGTAGATGATAATCTTTCTCCTTCTCTGTCTTGTATGGAGCATGTTTGTTCTTCATTTAGCCTGTGGAATACTTGAAACCTAGTTCCTCCGTCCTCCCTCCCCCTCCTCCCCCTCTCGCTCTCTCTTATAGCCTCACACCCTGCGCACAATCCATCATCATTTTTCCTTCAAGAGCCGTCATAGGA